TTGACGAAGTTTTCACGCTGAGAAGAAAATATCGGCAGCCCAACTTTATGAGATTTACTTACTTCGTCATTGCTTTTGATTCGATAGGACGATGATCGGGCAAATGACGCTCCGGAAGGAATAATGAGACATTTTTTCGGCGTATGTCATTGTTATATACATATGTATAAGGTTATGGTGAAATATTTTAGACCAGTGTTTTCCAAACTTATTTTTTTATTTTTAAAAATTTCAACTAAGCTATAGATTAAAGCTATGAACACGCTTGCCGGTTTTCTTGTTGGCCTTTGTTTTTCGATTTGTCGATTTATATATTCAAATTTGAACGGAATATTTACGCAGTCTCAGATGTAAACAATCAGCAAATCGAGATGTAAAGATGACCTATGGGATCTTTCACGACACCTTTAACATTTGAACTGGTTCTAAAAAAATCTCCCAACTCATTCCATTTCTAACCCGGCCGACTCTGTTGGGACCAGAACAAGTTCCCAAGCTTCCTAATGCCATATCATAATATCTTGAAAATATCTAAAACGCTGCTCGTTTTAAACGCATGCCAAATCCTTTCGAAGTCGAGTTTTTCTGCGTTTTCTATGCATCGCGTTCATATTCTCTTCCACGTTTTTCTGAAAAAGCACAGCGTATATTCTTTGAATATTTATATTCCATTATTTGCAACAAAAATTCCGCGCCTATATTTGCATTTTATTAATGCTACATAAATCGAAAATTCGCGATTCTACAAAAGTGCTTATATATTTGCATGTAATATTAAAGAATTTGCCGTGGTTCTTTTGTTTAAATTATTCTTTTATTTAACAATTAAATTATTCTTAAATTTGGTGTATACAATTAATTATAAGTACGCTTAAGTTAAATTTACTAGTTAAATCTAATTCGGCTGTAGCTTTAGAAATAATTTCGCGCTGCTTCTGTTTCCTATAAACTTTAATGTAAAGAGCGTTGAATAAAAGCACAACCAGCATATTGACCAGCATATTATTTCAAAGGCTTGGTTTTTAATCGGATGGTCTCTCTGAAAAAATATCACCGTTGTGGTTTAATTCTGGTTTTTGTGCTTTGATTCTATATAAAATTTATTATTTTATAACTAAACTATTACTATTTCTACTGAAATAAGATGGTAAGCCAGAAGTAGTGCGAAAGTAACTTTATGTGTTCAAGTGCCCAAATTTTGTTACGCTACGCTCTTTCCTTGTTCCTTAGCCTTCGGCAATGAAATTAATTTCGTCCCTATTGGCAGATTCGAATGTTTTGGCATCAAATGGACAGCGGAGCATCTGTAAAAATCCAGGAACTCTTCAACAATATTGCGTGAAGTTATGAAGGAGATGATTTAGAGTGCTAGAAGATGATATAACGATGTAAGCTTCCATGTTAAAATTGCTGCAAAAGCATGAAGCAACATGGCTTTTGAAAATTAGAAATCTATGAATTCTGAAAATTTTGAGAGCTGGGAAAAAGTCAGATGAAAAATTTAAATTCTTTCCATTTTTCATGCGCAAAAAAGAATGAAAGAATGAATTGATTGCTATTTGTGAAATGTTAGAAAAAAATATCTTTTTAAATTTTCATTACAATAAAACAATTGTTGAAGCTTGCAATGAACATCGACCATAAGATGATAAAGAAAGCGAAAAAAGCGACGTGTAAGGACCGCGTAAGTACTTGTTTTATTCGGTTAAAAAGACGAACAGCGAACAATATCGGCTTCTTTTGTCTTAATAGGATGGCCTATCCTACCATTGAAGTTTCATTTTTCTAACAAAAATCAAAGGTCGAATATTGGGATAAAGAAGAAATCGAAGTGCCCTTCAGCACAACCACAATTATCTAATCTTTTTCTTTATAAAAATCTAAAGGTCCATTTATTTCATGGAATAAATTGTATATTTATGTCCCATTATTTGTAAAAAGCTTCCGCTAGTAATTTATATTTTAATAATAATAATTAATTTAAATAAAATGAAAATCGAAAAACTCCAAGAAATTGTAATATCTTCTTCTTCTTCTAACACCTCTCACCATTACTGGTTAAGCTGGCTCCAACGGCTACAAGGATGCTTCCAAGCCGCGCGGTCTAATGCTATCGTCGACAGTAATAAAAGCCATTCCTTTTTCCATCGTTTAAGTCCATAGATTGCTGGTTCAAAATCTTTCCTGACCGTATCAGTCCAGGTCTTGATTGGCCCACCTCGCTTTTGACGCCATCCATCACACGTTTAGAAAGTAATGAAATATGTGACAATTCTTGTGGCGGACGACGAAAAACATGCCCTAACCATCGAAGGCGTCGCTTTGTGATATCATTATTAAGTGTTTGAACGAAGATGAATGCAATCATGTGATATTTTACCCGCTCGGCGGATCTGTAAAATACCTTAGACAAGAGTGGTTAAAGGTAGATAACTCCTTAATATCCTCCACTTTCATTGGCCATGTCTCAGAGCCATATAGCAAGATCGAACGAATCACGATGCGGACTTTCGTTTTAATGGTAATTTCACGACGGCTCCATAAAAATTCCGTCAACCGGAAGAATGGATGCTTTCTAGTTGCCGTGATCCGGGTTATAATATCGACTTTTGCCTGGCAGTTTGGTATCAGAGTGGACTCAAGGTATTTAAAATCTGGCATTTCCTCGACCGGCAATGAATTTACAAAAAGAGATCTTGCTATATGGCTCTGAGATATGGCCAATGAGAGTGGAGGATATTAAGGAGTTATCTATCTTTGACCATTTTATTACTTCTTATACATAAGATGAAAAGACTTGCGTTTTGTATATATTATTTAGCATTACTTGCATTTCGTTATAATATTAGTTAAAAGTACTACATCATCAGCATATTCAAGATCTGAGATACGATGCTCTGGGCTGATTTGGACATCCTTTGACAAGCAGTGTACATTTTCCAGTCTATCGCATAGTTGAATATTGTAAAGGAAAGGATGCAGCCTTGACGGACACCAGTTCTTATTTGAAAGGAATCTGCCAGTTCTCCATATACACAGACCTGCGCTTACATACGCTCATAAAATACCTTTATGAGTCGAACACCCTTCTTAACGTGAATATCTGCCCCGGTCTGAATCCAGTATGATTAAGGCACATCATGCATATCTCGTACTTCCATAAGTCTGTTGAGTAAAAGAGAAGAGAAGAGAAGCAAAAATTTTCACTGAGATATCTAGTAGGCTGATTCCTCGATAATTGTCGCAGTCCTATCACTTTTCTTGAGAATTGGGAGCAGAATTGCTTTGCTCCAGTCATCTGGTAATATTTCTTTTTCCCATACCAGAGAGTGCATTTGTTGAAGGTGTGTTATGAAGGACGATGGACAACATTTAAAGAGTTCAGCCCGAAGACCATCCTCTACCGGCGTCTTATTGGGCTTAGGCTTATAGATAATTATAGATATTATTTCTTCTTCTCTCGGGGGCTCGCAGTTGCAAGCATATAATTCAGCGAACGTATCAGTTAAATCAGGGGCAACAGTTGGCGATTCATGGTTAAGTTTGGTCTCAAAGAATTCTTTCTATCTTATGAGGCGGTCCTTAATACTCTTGACTGGCACGCCATTGTTGTCCCTTACCATTTCACTGATCCTTCCTCGAATTATAGTTGCTTTATGAAGAAGACGGAATAGCTTTCTATTATCGCCTAATCGAGCCGCCGTCTCCATTCTCGAGGCCATGTCATTCCAATAGTGATTTCTATCCCGTCGTGCTACCTTAGTTGCAAATCTTCGAAGTATTCGGTAGTCAGAATAACATTCGGCTTTGGCAGCTTTTTCAGACAGTTGGACAGTTGCTTCCGATACCCAATAGTATGTCCTAATGTAGAAGTGGCTGACTTTCGGAGATATTCCTTTAGTTTGGACCAGTATTCATTTGCAGTTCGAAAAATCATTGATATTTGTATTATTGAGATGCTTCAATAATTCAGTTTGAAATGCGCTCACTGCCTCCGAATTTTTTTGTTCGAGATAGTTTAAGGATCTTGGGCGGTTCTGCGGATCTTGGCTCGAACCATAACATAGTCAGGTCCATGAAGACTGCCCGTTTCAGTAGGAACTGCGGAATTCTTCCAATGGTGATTAATAACTAAGATATAATCACTCTGGTTAAAGTGTGTGTTATCCGGTGAGTTCCACGTGACTAGATATTTTCCACGATGCCGGAAGCAAGTATTAATAACAAAAAGTTCATGCTTTTCGGCATAATGAAGAAAGCATTCCTCATTGGCGCACTTGTCTCCGATGGCATATTGGCCAATCGCTGAGGTCATCGCAGTTGATTATGATTATGATTTACAGTTGATTATGGCATTATGATTTACGGCACATTCCAGTCTCCGTCGACTATGACCATGTGATGTTTTGGTAATGTTTTGGCAAGAAATGATAGTATCAAAAAGTAGTTGCGATTTGCTCATTTAAGTTGATAATTAGCTACTTATTTGGATTAGCTCATCATTAAATTTGGCTTAAAATTATGACCATTCTTACGATAGCGAATTAATTTTGATTATAAACTTCCAATTATTGTTTCTCGACGATATAATCTTATACCTTAATACCTAAATTTGCAGGATATTTTTGCTGCTACCCTTGATTTCCTGTGTTTGAGATATTTTGGCATGGGAAACTTTATAATTTTCATTGGCTCTCCTAGATGGAATAGTAAAGGCAAGTTTCAACTGGCACTCTGCTGATAGTACAAGCTTTTGGTGCTCCTCTTAATTTCACTTTAAATTAAAATTACAAAAATCACTTCAATTTAAAAAGTTTGATTTTTCTTCGCACTTCTAATTTTATCTAATTTTCGTTTAATTGTGGGCTTTTACAAGAAAAATTCCTTGGGTGGATCATATTCGATCATACGTACTGCAGTTTAGTAAACAAACGAATCTGGAACTTTGATGAGCTTTCTTTTATTTTGAAATGATACTTTCAGAAATGGTATTAATTTCAATGCTTCTGGCATTCTTAATCGTTGTTTCGGATACTTCGGCATCAGATGAACAATTGAATGTCGAAGAACCCCAGAGAACTATTCACTTTTACTGTGCAAAGAAGTGTGAAGCCGAATTAGGGGAAAATATTCCTGACGTAAGACTGGAACAATATTGTAGGCTTCAGTGTAAATATTATTGTCAACAGCTTAAAGAAAAATGCAAATAGCTATCAGCTGAATTCGCAGTTATTTTAAAAATTTTAAGGGTAAATTGGTTTTTTCATATGAATTAAATCTTTTATACCAAATATCACCGAATATATGAACAAATTCGCTTAGTGCGTGTTTGTATATATATATATATATATATATATATATATATAGTTAATAACAAACAGAGATAAAACAATTAAGCTTGCAGCGAAATTTGCCTAAAAGGCCTCAATCGGAACAATCTCAGTGTAAGTATTAGTCTATTAGTCGAGTATCCATATCCATACTGCTCCTAAAAGTGTGCTTAAATATTTCATGAAAGGTAAATCTCATTTCAGATTCCGAAAAATGAAGAAAAAAAACCTTCCTTTTCCTGTTTGCATACGTGAAATGTGATGAAAATCTGAACTGTGATACCTTATTGTGATACCACTTACTTATTCCTCGCTATATACTTATTACTCGCAATTATTGTGAGGGGCATTCTGTTCGTGAGGAAAACATCTTTAATTCGTCTTCAGCCTAATCGAAACAATTCCATTTATTACCGACAAATCCTTCGACGATGCAGAATCCCTCAAAATTCTGTTGGAGATTGAAATAGCTGCTTTTTAACGATTATAAAAAAAGCTTCGAATAGGCTTATTCAATCGTTGAGTCATCTTTAGGCAAACACTACATATGTATTTTCTCATAAATATTGTGTGAGTGAACGTTCAACATTCCACTTTTCTCGGTTCCCTGTTGAACGAATATGTTTAGAATTGAAAATGAGTGCGACCCAACCGACTGAATTTCCTGCTTTTCTGATCCATTTGTTTGCTGTTGTACTTTATCGCATATTTTCATTAAAATGCTCAAATAAGTTGTTAGTTAATATAACTATAACGACGCAGCAGTCGACCAACTCAGAGAATAGTGAATTTTCTTGCATAATTCGGAATTTACCTTTTTATATGCTTCTTTTTTAAAAATAACAATCAAATAAAACTGCAGCAGTGTGATTCAATTATTTTCCTGATGAAATTCTCGATTGTGTTGCTTACATGTACAACGTTACTTATGGCGAACTCTTGGAAAGCATTCCGATCAAAGACCACAGCGGAAGATTCATATATTCAAGAATACTGCAATTACGAATGCCGAGATCCGCAGCCTAAGGGAACAATTAGTGAATACTGCGTTCGTGAATGCAAGAGACTCTGTAAAGATAATCCACGACCGTGCAGGCATCCAAGCCGAGGAGTTCCTGTTATATGACGAGGCAAACCTTTTGAATAACTTAAACCATACTTTGTCGAAAATTTTGCTCGTTTTTACCTATCTGAACAGCAAATAAATTCTAAATTATTATATAACGAAAATTAATGGCTACAACTAATATACACTATTAAAACCAGAAACAGCAAAACTTAACGAAAAAAAGCTATTTTCCTGTTTCCACTGTAGAGTTAATCCTTCTATTAAAGAAATTCAGCTGAACCAATTTTTGCAGAATTTTGCGGGATATAAACATTTAAATTTTCAGAGGTGTTTCATATTATCCATATTATTATTACACTAGGGTATATGATAAATTCAGCTGGGAAATATTACATCACTTATGATCAAAAAATTACTTTATTTTCATATTTCTGACAAATATGGTAACTGAGCAATATGATAAAGATTCTTCTTTTTCTAATAGCTCTCACCATTACTGGTTAGGCTGACTCCAACGGCTACAAAGATGCTTCCAAGCGACGCGGTCTAATGCCATCGTCGCCAGTAATAGAAGTCATTCCTTTTTCCATTGTCTAAATTCATTACTGGTCCACCATACGTTCTTTCCTTTCTTGACCGTATCAGTCCAGGTCTTGAATGGCCCATCTTGCTTTTGACGCCATTCATCACATGATTTAACAAGTAACGAAATATGCGACAACTTTTGTGGTGGACGACGGAGAATGTGCCCTAACCATCGAAGGTCAAACGTAGATAATTCCTTAATATCCTCCACTCTCATTGGCCATGTCTCAGAGCCAAATACCAAGATCGAACGAATCATGGTTATACAGATGCGGACTTTCGTTTTAATGGTAATTTCACGATGGCTCCATAAAAATTCAGTCAATCGGAAGAATGTATTTCTAGCTGCCGTTATCCTGGTTATATAATATCGTCTTTTGCCTGACAATTTGGTATTAGAGTGGACCCAAGGTATTTAAAATCGGGCACTTCCTCGACCGGCAATGAATTTACTAAGACGAAATGACTTTCGTTTTATTTACATTGATCTTGAGACCGATTCTTGCTGCAGTTTCTGACACGTTATTTAGCATTACTTGCATTTCGCCATAACTGCCAGCAAAAAGAACTATATTATCAGCGTATTCAAAGTTATATGATAAAGATTGAATTAAAATTATATTACATTAAATGTAATAGTCAACATCATAAACAATTTTTTTTTTAAAATTAATAACTAATAATTAAGAAAATCAATAATTAAGAAAAAACATAAATAAAGAGCAATAGAAGAAATATTCAATTTTATTATATATATATATATATATATATATATACATATTGTCATATAAATTCCTCCAGGAAAAGAAATGACTAAAAAAAGAAAAAAATAAACAGAAAAAAGATTAAGGACTAAATAATCTCGGAAACGAATAATATTAACATTGATATCAACTATTTTTGCACAATGAAGTATCGTATATCTTGCAATTTTAAAGCCTCATATCCAACAGTAATTGTGTTTGGTAACAAATACCTCCCAAACAATTCCAGACAAGTAACCTCACCATTAAGTATATTTAGATCCTTAAATAATGGTAGAATTGGAGGCTTACGCGAATGAATTGATGAAGGTGTGCCAATGATCAAAAAATCCTCTGAAGTCAATTTTTTATAATAATCCAAGTAATCCGACTTACAAGCGATAATAAAACTCTCAAATGGAACTTTATGATGAGGGTTAAATCCAGTAACTGGTTCACCGCTCTTAGTTATTTTGACCCAGTGCCAAGTTACAACAATTTCGAGAGCATAATGGTGCATAAGATCATTAACTATATTAGTTACATGACAGCTATTTGTCGTCCACATAACAAGAATTCCATTATTGGAAAGCAATTCATTAATAGGAACTTCGAAAAGCTCTATTCCATCGAACATCGAATAAGATCTTTTTCTCTTTACCGATTTATTTTTCCACGGAGCATCAATAACAATAAGGTCGAACTTAAGTTTTTCTAAAATTAAATCAATTAAATAACAAATTTTCTATGAAAAAAAACCTTATTTAAATAAACAAATCAAATAATAACTCGTGGATTTGTTTCAATGCTTTGCCGGAACGAAAATCTCAGTTAAAGGATAAAACTTATAAAACTCTACATAATTTTTAAGTCATAAATTTTTGTTTTTTAAAATAGCCACTGTTACTACAAAGAAACCCTGAAAACAGAAATAAAACTCAGATAATAACCGAAATCGGGCTAATCTGTTCCTCAATCCTCAAGTGAATCTACATCGAAAAGCCTTATTATATTAACATATTGACAAAATATTATATTACGTCGCATTAGATGCTTTGACAATTGAACATCGCCAAAAATAAATGATGAACTGTTAAGAATGAAGTAATCTTGATTATCATAGTGAATCTGAATCATCTTTGAACTTGTATTTTTCCAAAGAACACAATGATCCACCGGGTTAAGACAGATTCTAAAATTAAAAAAAGAGATATTTTCTTTATATTGTCAATTATTTTGAACCATATTCGAAAATAACGTTAATTTTTGATACCGAATGATGCATAATTTGATTCGAAACTTGAAAAAACTGAATTAATTAAAATTTCACCGATCATTTGATTTCAAATGAATAATATCAAAAGATGTTGAATATAAAGAAGTCGAATTAATGTTTGTTGATGAAATAGAAGTAACAGATAATTCATTAGTCGCCATCCTAGCTTTTTTATTATTAAAATCATCGATAGGAATATTCTGACGATCGATCTTTTCAAAGCAATTGATATTCTCAGCAATTGCGTCGTTAAATGTTACTTTTATTTGGGCACATAACTGCAATAAACCATTAATTTATAATACCTTCTCGTATGATGAAGGAACATTTTTTTCACTATTGGACAGATTTCCTTTGTTTTACCCAGAATAATTCAAGGTAAAACCTGTGATGATTCTAATTATCACGTCGAGCATGCAAATTAAAATATTCCATGCCAAATGAAGAAATGTATATATATATATATATATATATATATATATAAATATTCTATAAACTATGTTCTAATTTCAAATTTTTTAAAATTCGCAAATCAATATTTCAGAGTCTTCTCCTGTAATAATTATTGGTTTGGTTGGTTCCACTGAATATTCTCCGAGAGTAAATTAGGAATATAGACAAATGCAATTGTCCGATAAGTTTTTCATGTAAAGAAGCGAACAGACTAGAAAATTTTAAAGAAACCTTTATCCATGGAAAAAACTTTTGATCATTTTTCATTTCATTTTTTTTCTTTCTTGATTTCGTACGAGAATTTAACGATTTTATGGCTTTGGCTTGTGATTCCATCATGAATGGAGAGTATATCTGATAAAAAATTGGACTGAGCTGCAAACTGAAAGATTCCATGCCAAATGAAGAAATGACTAAAATAAATTCTTAACATTAATTTTTTTATCGTCGGATGGAATGAAGAATCGACATAAAAATATAAAAATATAACGAATTCTCTTTTACTATAACACTGAAACTTCGTTTGTTACCTCTTTTTTCTTACAGCGTTCAAAATAATTTCTGATAAAGCTCGCTCGGTCGGACCAAATAAACCTACTTCAATCAGCTGACGATAGAATAGCCAACACTACCATAATTTTTTCCCAGAAAGACAAATTCACTCTCGACGAGAGCTCAATCTTGGCATACCGAAATAATAATAACATTCTACTGAATATTCGACCAGACATTTACCACTAATTAAACAAATTAACTGGTTAAGAATAATACCCCGAAGTCTTGTATAAATTATTGTAATATGTAAGTTCATCGATTATAACATAATTTTCTCCAGAGTTTTTTATAATCGAAGTGCACTTGCTTTCCATCTGTAAAAAATAGTATAGTGATTGCATAAATTAAAATTTCGACCACAGTAAGAGCCAATTAAAACTTTGTAGTTGAGGAAATGACCTTTCACATGGATGGGAGGATATTTGGAGAAAACAACGGAACCAAAGAAGAGAAACATTAAGATAGGGATAAATTAAGGAAATAAAGCAACACCTACCATCACGATTCCCGAAACACAAAAGAAAATGATACTACAAAGGAGATATATCACAACGACGAATTGTACTCCATTCAATTATTCACTGTTAAATAATAACTGATATGAATTCCTCATTTTCGCTGACACCAAATAAAAAGTCTATCTTTACCAAATATTCGTTTCGATGAAACTGAAATAAAAAATTACGCAAAAAATTGTCCAGAAGGACGGCACCGTTATCGTACAGCTAAAATTAAACATTAATACCTGTGATACACAATATGCATCCAGGACACCAAAATCCCACCTTAAGTTTTACACAAAAAGAATGTTTCAGTTGATATCATTTGATATCGCGCTACTCCTAAGAAAAATATAAACCTGGCCATCGAATTAATAGCCAATGAAATTATCCATTTTTACAAATTTTTCTTTTCTTTCCAAAAACATTCACCATTTCTGGTTAGATTCGTTCCACATATTAGCAAGACCAGAATAATTTTTCAGGAAAATTTAAGAGCGACACAAATACAAATGGACTTTCAATTTTGAAAGATTGATTCACTCCTTCAAGAGAAAAATTCCAGCAGCGACGTTCAGGAATGAGAATAAAAACTATTACCCCATTACAATCCCTACTTCAAAAATTCTTTCTTCCAAAAAACATTACTGTTAACGAACATCGAATAAAATCACTGAAATTGAAATTAATTTATTCCATTTTATTCTTTTATTTTAGTAGTTTGACAAACTTTAAAAGCAACAAAATAAGATTTATTACGTGCTGATTTTAGAATCAGTCACTTTTATTAGAAAGTAATGATTCACTAAAGATATTTAATCTCACAAATCATCCAGTTCGAACTGGAATAATATTTGTGAAAAAATCATTTAGGAAATTCTGAAATTAGATTACTGACATTTTGTGAATTTAGAAAAATTTACCGAATAACAATAAATTTAGAAAAAGCCGAATAACAAAAAATAACGAGTAAAAACATGAAAAATACGAAAACAAATATCCAAAACAGATTTTAAAAATATTAAATTGAATGTGTATACAAAAATTAAAAAACAAGAAAATTGACTAGAATGACAGTCTCAAATAATCTCGAAATTAATTAAATTTAAAAATCGATGTGCAATGCAGATTAAAGTTGTGAAGAAGAAAAAGAAACACAGAAAAATAATTAATAAAATTAATTATTTAATATAAATAAAATATACCTAAGGTTTTGAGAAAGGTGAGAGAAAGTTTTAAGGAAAACTATAGCAAAGAAATTTCACCAAGGAAAATAGTAATACCACCGAAAATGGTTTTATCTACTAAAAAAATATCAATATCAATTCCAAAATATATTAACCTTCCTTTTGTGACAAATTGTTTGAAAAATCATCTTTAAGAAATTTTCATAAAATAATTTTAAAAAATCTAAATACTGTTATATGGAGAAATTATTTTCAAAAAAACAACCATAATTTCGCTACTTTTAGCTTTAATGCCAACTTACATCTAAATAATCTAAATAATCTTATAAAAATGAAGAAAAATGAATCGAATATCATAAAAATATGAAAAAACAAAAAAAAAATGGAAAATTTTCGATAAGACATCTACAGCCTTCAATAAAAAAAACTTAAAGAGATGAAGCAGAAAAAAATACAGCCAAAACAAAAAGCAATGGCTTTATATATATGTACAAGAGGGATATTCGTAAATTTTGCTTGTAACTCCTCACTGAGCATTTCGACGCTGGCTACATATATAAATGTGCCTGTTGCGAAGCTTTCCAAGAAGAAGCGGCACCACAATACTTCTGATGTATCCATCAGACTAACCTGAAAAGAAATGTTGATTAAGTAAAACTTTGTACAAAAAGAAATAAAATGTACTATATATTTTTTTTGAATCAAATTTTTACGTAAAATTCTAACCAAAAAAATAGAAGCGAACATTCCTAGAGGTATGTTTGACGCAAGAATAGCGGTGAAGATGAAAGCTGCACCAAATGAAGCTTGCTGTTCGGCCAGGCTTACGCCATATGCGAAAGAACATAATAATTCATGAAGCATTATGGCAATAAGTAACTTGAAAAATTCTTTTTCATTATTCTGAAAAAACGACAGAAATTTTTAAAAAATTAGTATCACTGGTAACATATTATTAGATTACTAAATTTAAAGTGACTTACTTGCATACCTAAAGCAATCCCTTCAAAAATAGAATGGGAACATAATCCGAATAATAAAGCGCATGAGTGAAAAAACTGATGACTAAAATTGATGGGAATCCTAAGCGAATGAGTTCCATGTCCTTGAAATTTGTAACACAACTAAAAAAATCTGTTAATGAAATTTACTTTATAACTTTTTTTATACAAACTGTGGATCAATTTTGATGACAAATATACATCGTTCAAAAATTTTTCAATTTCAGTTCACTATAATATCTTGGGAAATTTATTTCTCAGAAAAAACTTTTTCATTTTCCTTGTTAAATCAAAGCTAAGAAGATATGCAAAGATATAAGATAAATTATACCTGATCTTCAGGATGTCTAAATTCAATCTCATCTTCACTAGAATCCTCTTCAGAATTCAACTGGTTTCTTACAAGTGGTTCAATGTCATTTGCAACTAAACGAACAGGAGATCTGTCCAAATTTATTGTGGAATCGATAATATTATCATGATTGTCCTTTGAAATATCACGTGTTTGATGGGATATTGCTCCATAAAACCTTATAAGCTGAAAAACATAAAATGATTGTTAGAAGTAATTATAAATGATTATAAGAATGATTACAATTGTAGTAAGAAAATATTATGGAAAAGTTTACTGAAAAGAATTAAACAAAAACAAATTTAAAAATAAAAGACAAATAAAAATTAAAAACCTGTTCCAAAAACAGAATAAGGCTAAAGCCTACAAGAATCATAAAATCTGATTTTAAAAGAAAATCTTGAATTGATCGCAAAGAATTTCCTTGTCCCCATAATTCACGAATTTTTGTCTCATGTGCTCGTATATGTGGAATCAATCCCAAAAAGCACGTTGCAAAAAAAATACCGCAAGCAAAACACGTACAAATTGACAATATAATCGACCTACTGGAGAAAAATATAAGAGAAAAAAAATATATAAGTAAATGTACCATAGAAAATTTGATTTAAAAAAAAACTTACCTTAAATCGATCCTTCGTCCAGGCCGATATAACAAACAATAAGAACCAAATGAAATTAACAAGAGAACAATAAAAATTGCGCAGCCGCAAATAATGTTTAATATCATCATGTTTAATAACGTTTAATAGTTAAACCAGGCTCCCACAAAAATTATCAAATTATCCGAAAAAATTTCTATAATTCATTAAACTGATATGACCATGACAAGCGATACTACAGAGAAGTGCATATCCATAAATTACGTAAAGTTATATTTCTTATATTATTATCGTCATTTCAGATGATTGAAAATATGCAAAATGAGAAAAAAAAATTAAAGGAAACTGTTATGAAACATCGAAAAGGAATGGAAGGGCAACTCGAAGAAATATTAAACAACACGAAAAGCTTTCAATATCCAGGGAAATAAACAGAATAAGGCAAATTTTTGGACACTTATCGAAACACTCATATTCAACTAATAATTCAAAACACAAATAATTTGAAAATATTTATTTTCGTTCTTCCCAATTTTCTTAATTTTCTATATGAGCTCTAGGATTTTATTCCACCAAGAATAGTTTAGCTTATCATGGCAATAAATTTAAAAATATTTTCAAAAATATTGAATGCACAAACTTGTCGCATGGAGGACAAATGGAATTTTAATTCTTTATGCAGCTAGACTTTCTTTAAGTCCACTATTAAATCAATCCATAAAAGTATATGCAGACAAGAACAATCTACAAAGTTATCTCTCCTACTTTATAACATTTTGAAATATCAAAAACAATCTTTTACGAAACATTTTATCGAATAATTACTCATTAATCTTGTTTTCTTGAGAAATTTTCCATTTATCTTGCGTTAAATTATTACTATATAATTAATAGGTTAAGATTGAAAATATTGAAAAAAATGAGAACAAATATTAAAAAATTAAAAAATGCTAGGAAGACTGCTAAATGCAGAAAATTTATGATAAATTATTTTTTTCTTTTCTGCCCACCGGCTGATCCGATTCCTTTACGATTGATAATTCGACCTTTTTTATTCATTAGCATTGTGCCCGGAAATACAAATTCATTGAAACTGAAAAATCGAAATTAACAATCAAACATCCAATAAATGATTATCTTTCTTCTTTAAGTTATTATAAAACATTAATATTCATAAATTCTCTAAATGAAAGCTATTTTTCAATTATAATCCTGACAATCCTGTTGAATTTACCTTTCCTTTGTATTATTTTTTGAACGTTTTTTTTGGCCGCCAAAACCAAATTTCTTATTTCGAGCATTGCGACTAAGCTTACTACATTTAACTCCATTTCGCATTTGATTATCTTTCTTCTTTAAGTGACTGGTTGCATCCGTTTTATCCTAAATTCCAGTTTTTATAAATTTTAATAAAACAACCTAATTTTTCAGCAATTCTTGAGTTTTTGAACAAAAAATTTTTATTTCAATGTTTTTAAAAACTCAATTACATCATATATTTGCAAGCTTTTCGCGTTATTTAACATTTCTTCAAGTTGACCTTTCAATCCTTTTCGATGTTTCATAACAGCTTCCTTTAATTTTTTTTTCTCATTTTGCCTATTTTCAATCACCTGAAATGACGATAATAATACAAGAAATATGAAGAAATAATAATTTCAAAACCACTGTTGTTGACCAATATTTACTTCTCTCTGCACTTTTGCAGCAAATTTCTTCTCCTCTCTTAGCCTTCGGATATTTTCCTGACGCTCTTTACCTTCACGTATATCTGCAATCCTTTGACGAACCTAAATACTTGAAATATTTGAAATTTCAAAATGTTGAAAAATTACCATAATAACGAAGAAATATTGAATGAAAAATGAAAAAAATGAACTTTTATAAGAAAGAATACGTAATTAATATAAGAAATTAGTAATTAGAATTAAATTTAAATATCTCCCAAAGTTAAATGGAACACTACTGATTGTTAAGACAATTTAAAGCCGACATTTCAAAATAACCTTTTGCATATGCGTATCACTTTTAACCATCTCTGCAAAGTAATCTGATGGTCGAAATACTTTCATTTTCATTTGCTTTAATCTTTGAATAGCGATTTCTGCTGCTTTTTTCGCTTGCTTATAGCTAAACAATTAAATAAAGATAGCCAAAATACTGAAAAATAAAAAAATCTAACTGAAAATTGAAAAAAATCAAAAGAACTGCTTAAAAGCAAATTTCTATGAGAATGGAAAATGGAAAACAGCATTTTTAGAACACACAATATGATTTCCCGTTCAAAATCATCATCTTTATTATGCATGGTATTCATTTCATTTTCGACAGTAATATCTAGAGTTTCAATCCAAGGCATTCGCTTTTGAAACTCACCAATTTTCAGCTTCAATTCCTCCTTTAAAATAAAAAAAAATCAAGAGAAATATAAATTTTACATAATTTAAGAAAATATACATTCAGAAATACAATAAAAACATAAAATTTAATGAAAAAATTAAAATCACAGTCAAAAATTAAAATTACAATTTATAAATTAAAATTATAATTTTTGATTTTTAAAAGTTCCACTAAATTCAATTAAATATAAACCGTTTTGTTGATAACTGGTCTTTTCTTTTCAACGATATAATTTAAAGCATCTGATTTCAATAAACCATCACGTAAAGCAATTTGAAGCTGGAAATCTTTATAAATAACCACAAATCATTATGATTCGACAATTCAAGAAAACCGCATGTTTATAGGAAGACTGGTACTCAACAGCTTTTTTTATGTAGATTACTTTGATAAATTTCTCAAAAATAAGAGACATTTTTTTATCCAAATAAAAAGCTTAATAAAATTTTAAAAAACAAAATTCAAAATTTACTTCTTTATCAGACTCATCAACTTCACTATCACTGTTATCAGACTCTATTTCGATATCAATGTCATTAGTTTTTACGTTTTCATCGGTTTCATTCCACAATGGTTCATCCTTTTTATCTTTCGACTTATCACTAATCATCGTTCCGCCAGCAGAGTTTGTAGTGAATGAAGCTTTTTTATTTCGAGACTTTTTAATGGACATTTTATTGAATACAAGCAGATTACAAGCAAATTAGTAAAAATTATCTAAAAATAAAAATAAGAACATAATTGATAATTTGACGACTGGAACAATAAGTAAAAAAAGCATTGCTATTAGTCATGGCTCATCACTACTGATTACGCTCCCTTCACTAGCTTGCCGGAAATTTCACTAGGGAAACACTAGTGAACAGCACAAGAGCAAATAAGTTGCCAGCATCACTAGGTGTATATTTAAGACAACCAAAAACGAGCAATATGGTCGAATTGAATAGTATGCAATAGTATGCATAGTATGTAATTGATTGATGCCTTCCATTATGAGCTTGGTTCCTACTTCTTGACAGGTAAAAATCCAAAAGTAAAAGCACCGTGGCGCTGAGACTCACAAGCAAAATTCTCGACAAAGAGATTTTAATGGTCAATAGAAAATTTAGCAGATAGACCGACGAATCTCATAATGCAGCTTTCGTCGGATGCCATCCACATTTACAATATCAGTACCGTCATAACGCTTTCATCTTTGTTACTTAGGCAATTTTTTTCGATACTATAGGACTGATATTTGCTAAACCCGGTGGAGAGTCATAAGGAGGAGCATAAAGAATCGAAACCTGGACTGGTCAGGATGGACTTTAAAGTTATAAGTGAACAGGCGATGTATGGGCTTAGATGGAAAAAGGAACCCCACTATAGATACGGCGTCGGACTGGAAGGCTTGGGAATGTCTCAGCTCAACTTAGCCAGCCTAGCCAACAATGGTATGCACTATTTATTAGAGAAGGATGAATCCAAAAATGAAATAATGAAACCAAATATAAAATTAAGTAAGAAAAAGTGCCAATGGTCTCTTTCTTCAAGCAGCGTTCTTCATTTGGCTGCCTCTATTCAATATTGGAATGGAACTTTTGATTATCGAAAGGTGTCAAAGTCGTCGTTACACAGCTTTCTCCGCCATTCTTTCCTAAACAGAATAGCTGAAAAATATAATCCTTTTCTTCAACAAATACTAGGAAAACACGACCGAAAAAAAACGATTTGGAACCTTTACTTTTACCAAACTCTTACTATCTGAAATAAAACACAGCACAAAATCGACATTTCAGACGAATTCCGCATCCACAAGCTTGCAGTAATGCAGTAATAATTGCAGTAATACGAAAAATTCATTTATTCATATATTCAAATAATATTTTAGAAACGAAAATCGTTTGGATTATTTTTTCCTCAACAAAATAAAGAATATAATCGCTAAAAAAATGTAGAATCGAAAACTTTATTACTCTTTATTTAAACAAAACAAAACTGGGACCAATTAAACAAAAACCAGTTGCTGTTTCTTCTTTTCCGCAGTCGTAAAAGAATAGGTTAATCAGGCAACCAATGGATCAATAAAAATCCATGCATACGTTGATAAATCGACGGAATGAGAAAAAAAGAAAAAAATCTGAACAGTTCAATTAACAAAAGAACATTGACACAGATACACTGACAAAAACATATAGATTTGATATTAACTTAACAGCCATGGCTAAGGCAGCAATAAATAAAACGAGATTTTTTGAAGTTTTAAATTCCGAACTTCCGTTCTGTTTCTATAAAAATGAACAAAAATTTGGTAGCCAATTAGCGATATCAGTCGATGGAAATCGAAGAGAAAATGAAACCATCGTCGAAGCTCCTTTAAAAATTGCAAGCCATTCTGTCACCAAGCAGAAAATCAGATAACTATAATTGGGAATTTGAACAAAAGTGTTGCTCCAATGTTTTAAGTATCATTTTGCTCTTCTATAAGAAATCCAATAAGATTAAGGGTCTCTCACCTTTAAAAAGCCTTTCATCTTTTTAAAAAAAGAAAGATCTTTAGAAAAAGAGCATTTTTCTTACAATTAACTTAAGAATTTCAAAATGTTTCAAGTTGCAATTTATAAGAAAAATTTTTTAGGCATTTATTCGCCTGATTTGATTTCAAAAACTAGATTGGTAATTGAATTTATTACTTATGCATTACAAAATGAAAAAATATTACCAGTGTAATCGCTGTCGCATACTTCGAAGTACATATTCAAAAACCAGCCAAAGACAATGAATATCTTAAGATTTTATTATATAGCCTTCAAAACTGGAACAACTCGACTAATTCTAGTGCGTCGCTTTTCCAGAAACTGTTCTAAATAAAGTAAATAAGATAAATATAGCTCAAAAATAATACTAATGCTATTTTAAAAAAATGGTAATAAATGGATCGTGGTTTGGGTTCGAATCCGCTAACGCACCACTCTTTGTCGAGCAGCATTATCCCCTAATGGAAAAAAAACGAAGGAGAGCAGAATATTAAATTCAGAGGTTGTTGTTTAATTTGGCGCGCCGATGATGAGGTTCCACTCCCCAAAGGAGCAATCTTGTCCAAAAATCTGGGTGATGCTGACGACTTATTTGTACATTTATCGCCAAGGGACTTTATGACATATCTGTATTGTACCATAAGCCAGAGGAGAGAGTTCAAGCAATAATGATGAATGCTCTTAAAAAAAATAGTAATAATTGACAACTTGCTTTTGTGAAGATTGACCAAATCCGTAAAACTAGGATTAGGCTTGTCAGTTATTTTATAGAATCGCAGAGCACGATAAAATATACAAGTCAAATGAGTGATTAATGACGAGCCCGATGCTTCTTCATAATCAATAAAAGAGAATGGAGAAAAATAAAGATTATCACAAGATAACTGAAAGAAAAAGTTCTGATAAACACTGATCTGAATCGTGATAATGATCAAAAAAGTGTCTAAGAATTTAGTTCTTGAACCTCGAGGACCTACCATAAAAATTGCAGTGCTAGGAACCCACTTCTATCTCTCAAGTATTTCTATTCCTAAATTTCAAACGTTTTTGAAAAAGATCCACAAGCATTATTTATTATTTATAACTCAGAAGAAATATAGGTTTATTTAAAACCTAAAACTGTAAGAAAACTAATAATAAGAAATACCGAATTTTGAAGCTTTTAAATTTTATGGTACAAAAAAACTATAACTGGCAAAAATAAAAATTAGCTGGATGTACCTCAAGAGATTCATCAATGTGATCAATCAATTTAGCAAAATTTTCAAAGCAAATAAAGTCATTCCTCGATTTTTTGATCAAAGAAATATTTTTTGCCTCGATCCACGTTGCATATAGCCAAATTAATGAAAGCACGTTATTTTTTTTCTCTTCTTTATTCTGCAACACAGAATTTTTAAAAATGCTTGGAATACCAGTTATCATTTATTTCAATATCAAGAAAACTGAGCAACCTGATTCGCCTTCTCAACTAAAAAGAAAAATTGATCAGCGATGATTGAAACAACGATGTCAGCAGTTTTGAGCTTTTTCACATCTTCATTTCCGTTAATTTTCAATATATTCCAGACAGTAACAGCGATCACAAAATGTTTCTTAAGACGTAAATAATTTTGAGTGGAATTGCGAAGCAAATTTCCGAGATTTACGAGAAAAACATCCTCAACAAGCATAACCTAAATTTTTTTTAAAGGAATATAAAAAAAATGAATAAGAATAAATTTTAGCAAACAAAGTGGAAAAATATAACTCAGATTCCAATATTTGCATATTTAATATTGAAGCTGACCATCAATCAAAAAACTTGAATAAGAATGAAATGACAAAAATGACGTCTTTTTAAGACCTTACAGTTAAAAAATCATTAACTAACATTACGGCAACGACCCACGATTTTAAGGAAGGTTTCATCGTAATCAAATTCATCATTTCCTGAAATTATAAAGAAGATTATAATAACTGACTTACGACACTGCCATTGCATCTCGAGCAATGACTGGAACAAGCCAGTTAATCTCAAAATATTATAGAATGTAACCATCGAATAAGCTTAATATTTCCAGGAAGATTTATCCTTTTTGAGTATGCTTCAGATGGGTATCTCGGATCGATTTTTACTTTGCATCTATCTGGCTGTAGTACACAAAATCCTACTATACGACTGTAAAATATGACCAATCAGAGTGGAAGATGAAGAAATTAGCCTTTTTGATCTTCTGACTGCCTAAGATACCTCTCTACCCTATATATTCCTCTATCTTTGTATCCCTAGTAAGATATGGTCTCACATGGTCGCATCCACTTCACTCTTATAAAATCTATATTAGAAACTGTCATAGAGCGCGTTGGCTGCATTAGTTAGGCCACGTTCTTCACCGTCCATCACAGAAAGTGAATCATCTGTTGAATAATACCAAAAGTAAGGAGGGCCAATCAAGAAAACGGATGTGGTCGAGGGAGATATGGATTATGCAGACAATTATATAAGAATTTAGACAATGGAAAAAAAGGAGTAATTTCAGGAATGACACTGGCACTCGATCGAGCTTTGGAAGCACAGTCACAAGATCGAGCCGGATCCCTGAGAAATAAAAAGATAAGATAAATCGCCGAGCTAATTCTTCTTCTAATAGCTCTCACCATTACTAGTTAGGCTGGCTCCAACGTCTACAAGGGTAAGACGCTTCCAAGCGGCGCGGTCTGATGCCGTCGTCGACAGTAATAGAAGCTATTCCTTTTTCCATCGTCTAAGTCCATACATTGATGGTCCACCTATATGTTCAAAATCTTTCCTGATCATATCAGCCCAGGTCTTGATTAGCCCACCTCGCTTTTGACGCCATCCATCACACGTTTAGAAATAAAGAAATATGTGACAATTCTTGTGGTGGACGACGAAAAACATGCCCTAACCATCGAAGGCGTCGCTTTGTGATATCATTATTAAGTGTTTGAACGAAGGTGAATGCAATCATGTGATATTTTATCCGCACAGCGGATCTGTAAAATATACCTTAGACAAAAGTGGTCAAAGGTAGATAACTCCTTAATATCCTCCACTCTCATTGGCCATGTCTCAGAGCCATATAGCAAGATCGAACGAATCACGGTTATACAGATGCGGACTTTCGTTTTAATGGTAATTTCACGACGGCTCCATAAAAATTCAGCCAACCGGAAGAATGTATTTCTAGCTGCCGTTATCCTGGTTATAATATCGTCTTTTGCCTGACACTTTGCTATTAGAGTGGACCCAAGGTATTTAAAATCGGGCCAGCAATGAATTTACCAAGACGAAATGACTTTCGTTTTATTTATATTGAACCTGAGACCGATTCTTGCTGCAGTTGCTGATATGTTCTTTAACATTATTTATATTTCATCATAACTGTCAGCAAAAAGGACTAAATCATCAGCGTATTCAAGATCTGTGGCATGATGCTCTGGACTAATTTGGACACCTCTTGAGTGCCGACAAGCGGTATCTATTATCCAATCTATCTCATAATTGAATATTGTGAGGGAAAGGATGCAGCCCTAACGGACATCAATTTTATTTCGAAGGAGTCTGCCAGCTTTACATACACACAGACCTGCGCCTCATAAAACATCTTTATGAGTCGAATAATTTTCTTTGCGCCGTCCTCCATTACCCTCCAGAATGCCGCTTTATCAATTGAATCAAAGATATCCGCAAAGTCGATGAAATACCACGTAACAGTGGGCTTCAAATATCTGAAGCAATGTTCTAACATCCTTCTTAACGTGAATATCTGGTCAGCACAATCGCCTGGTCTGAAACCAGCTTGATTAGGGCGCATCGTTGCTGCCTCGTACTTCGATAAGTCTGTTGAGTAGCAGGGAAGCAAAAATTTTTCTGAGACATCTAACAGGATGATTCCTCGATAATTGTGGCAGTATATCCTATTATTTTTCTTCAGAATTGGAAGCAAAATTGCTTCGTTCCAATCATCTGGTAATATTTCTTTTACCCATACCATAGAGTACATTTGTTGAAGGTGCGTTATGAAGGACGCCGAGCAAATTAACATGAATTAAATTACACTACTAATTTTCTTCAAAAAAGAAGGAAAAAAGAAACGGCATGCCTGCATCAGTTTTGAAGGGAGTTTTCAATAAATGTATAGACACACATATAATGTAAATTTAAAATTCATAATCATTAACCCAAATTAAGCGATGCCTGCATTTTAAAAATTTGCTGAACTTTTAAATCAGCTCCTCTGAATGAATCAGGTGAATTGGATGCAAGAATATATTCATATAAAGCGTCCAAAAACTTCTTCCGATATATATAAATAATACCGATCTACAAAAGCATTGAAAATACTTCTTTTTCAGAATATTTCTCCATAATAATTTTTATTTATTCTAGTTATTTACTTTTTTAATCTTCATTTATTCTAAATTACGATAAAAAATAAAAGAGAACAACCGATACCTCTAAAAATTGCTCGAAAAACATATACTCAGAATATTCATATTCAAAATAAAAATTCAAAAACATGAATGCAAAAGGCAGGAAAATATTCTCGCTTACACGAAAACAACCATTAATTTTAGAAATCAAAAAAATGGAATCAAGATTAAAAATTAAGTAAGTGAAACCTGATTATGAACAAATCCATCGAAAGAGGCTGCTTTCAGCGCAAGTTTATAAAGAGAAAGCGCCATATCGAACTTTGACTGCAAATATTTAAATATTCAATGAAACAAAAACCAAATTTACATTGAAATTACGCTATTTCGAACAATACATAAAATAAACAAGCATATCTCAACCTCATTAAACGCAATAAGATGAATTCTTTTTGCTTTGAAAGAGATATTTAAATATAACAATATTACCATATATCTTGAAAAATCCCCCAGTCGAAGATAAAAAAACCGCGCAAATTTATCTATGACTTCTTGCGATAAAAGGCTGACTTTCTTTTTCTCCATTTTACTATCATATTTTCTTAGGAAATGAGGAGCATTTTGTAGGTCAAAATCTAAAGAACAAATCGATCAGAAAATGAAAAAAAAAATTTCCAAAAATGTTTCTAATTTGTAAAAAAAATACCTGTAATTATATTAATATATTTATATTAATACATATTTAAATAATAATATATTTATGTTAATATATTATTTATATTAATATATTGGATATATCATATATAAAAAATGAGATGAAAATGTTACAGAATATTAAATATAAATGAATATAAATATAAATGAATATTATTAAAAAATGAATGGAAAATATTTTAAATATTGAGGATCAAAAGAATCGAAATCATTTAAATAATTTGAATTAAAATATAATATTACGTATTGAAAAAAATTTAATGTTAAGATTCTATATTACTGAAATATTAATACTATTTAAATACATTAAAATATTAAAATATCATTGAAATGGTAAAAGTGAAAACCATAATGATGCTGAACAAGAACGGCCAATTCACATAATTCACAAAAACAACATTTTACTGCTTCATCATGATTCTGAAAAAAATCAACACACTCGTTTTGATGAAAACATCAAAAAAATGAATCCTGCAGTAGAATTTGCAAGATGAATGAAAAACGAACCATGAAATGCGAACCAAATCGTTCCTTATTGTCTTTTTTCAAAGAGTCTAAATATTCCTTTTGTATATTGAAATAAATCTGATCAGCTTTATTCTCAAAAGCGAATTCACCATCCAATAGAAAAATTTTTTCTAAAAGCTGAAAAAATTTTCTTCGATAGAGGGATCTGTTCACTTTTAAAAGTTTTATTTAATATTTAATATATATTTCATAGTTAAAACAACATTTAATATTGATACTAAATATTGATACAGAATATATGAAAATATTATCTAAAAAATATTTTAAACTAAAAAATATTCTAGACCATACAATAACCTCTATTACTTCGCTTCGAAATTCTTCTCGTCTTGTAATTTTCGACATAGTCAAATATTTCTGTAATTGGTTCCAAGCCTTATTTATTCCTTCAGAACTCATTTTGTCAATTTCCTGAAATTCTGATACCATTTGCCAGAAAAAACGTCAGAAGACAATAAAATATGATATTTGCAAAAGAAATCCAAATATTTTAAGTGGAGTAATGATAAATAGCTTTTTTTGAAAAAGAGAAAAAAATTATAAAAAACACTGAAGACAAGTAAAACAATTTCTGCAAATAAGAAAAATTAACACTCACACCATTTTTCTTTATAAAGTAGATTAACGCAAAAATTTTTCAAAAAAGAAACAGAACTAACAATATTGGCTCAAACTATTGGGCTAATCATACGGAACAGTTTATCAAATTTCTTAAAATTTCTTAAAATTTGAAGTTCCCTTCCCAACCCTTTCACAATCTTTTGCAATCTTTTGCAAACTTCCATCGTATCTGATTCACATACAGATTCAGAGTACCTGTAGATAATTTGCAAATAAACCTAAATGCCATAAACGATTTTTACCAATACTTCGGGATTTTCTCGTTCATTCTGAAGATATTAGCACTGGTGATGGATACGTTAATTCCAAGTAACAGGTACATTAGAATGAAGAAATATGAGAAGTTAGAGAAATACCAAGGACTAAAAGGGAAGGCCAAAATAAGCTCAGTGGCATCAGGAGCATTAGAAACTATGGCTAAACTAGAAAAACGACTTCAACAGATTCCAGGAAGAATACAGAGATTTTTATCCAGAGCAGCGAAACAGCTACTGCATCGAGCCCTCAAGGCCTCTGGCAAAGAGGCCAAGGTACAGGACAACGTATACAAATATGAAAGAAAAATAACAGGTAATTACAGGTAAAACTGCATAAAGTAAACAAATGGGGTAAGTAAACAAATGCATGTGGCACCAGTCTAAGAATACTCGTTGGTTACCTTATATTATCATGCAGAAGGACTTTAGGTCGAATTTCATTCGCGCTCTTCACAGCTTAAGCGGATTTACATAGATATAGAAACATTCTTTATGGAATTACAGAAATATCTTTTGCAGAACTGTAGAATTTTCAGACAAGATAAGTCATTGAAACGATGCCGCGTATTTAATCCTAGAAAGATGACCTTCCAAGGATTTTCTAGCATTTCAATCTACACTCTCAAACGGCAATTTCCCAAAAGTGAAATGGCAACATACTTAATTATGGTTCTTATATTTAAAGACTATACGCAAGGAAAAAGAAGCATGGAAAGTGCAGCCAAACTTCCCCTGACTTCTCAGTCTACTGTTGCTGTGAACTGCGAAAGTACCTGCAATTATTGTGCAACCTAAGTGCAAATGATACGAAGCGAGCTGCACTCCAAATATTGTGAAGACAACTGCAAATGTTATGGAACTATACGACAAATAACGAATCAATGAACCAAAACAACCGGTTTAATAACTGAATTCCAAGCACAATAAATAAGCAGATGGCAGTGGTTACCAATTTTTAACGAAGAATATAACATGGAAAAACAAAATGTTCAGTTGAAAACTCCACACCTCAATATATATATATATGGAACTTTTCCGCACCACACCTCAACAAATCAAGATGCACAAGTCTTGTGACAGATAAACCGTAACCAAACATTCGTTTTCGAAGAAGACGATAAAATAATAGCAGCGAAAAATTCTCACTCCGCTGCGTTTATCCCAATTTCTGGCTCGCCATAAAATGCTTGAATACTTTTGTGAAGAGTTGTTTCATTTTAGTATAATTCAATAAAACTTCAATTATTTTTATATTTACGATATAAATGATATATCACAATATAAACATTTCTTATCCAAATGTACAATAATCCCATAATTGATCTTCCACATTTTTAAATCCTGCGACAAATGCACGTACCTTGAATTACTGAAATACAATTTCTCCAGTACTTCAGCAGTACTCCTCCTTAATTTGTGGTTAAACTGGTTAATTAAATTCAAAAAATTCTTTCTTTTCGAAACGATATTTGCAAGCGGCGTGGTCTGATGCCATCGTCGACAGTAATAGAAGCCATTCGTTTTTATTTTATCCTTTTCTAAGCCATTCCTTTTATATTATCTACGTCCATATGTCCACCTATACATTCAAATATATCTTTCCTGACCTTATCAGTCTAGGTCTTAATTGGTCCATCTCGCTTTTGGCGCCACCCAACATAGGATTTAGCGAGTAACGAAATATATGTCTTGCGGTGGGCGACGAAGAACGTGTCCTAATCAACGAAGGTGATGTTAATGCAAGTGTTATTTGAAGATTGATCATATGAGATTTTATCCACTCGGTGAACCCGTAAATTGCACCTTAGACAAGAGTGGTCAAACACGCTACCTATTAAAAAGCAACCGTTTATTTTTTATTGAACCTTATGTAATGTGCAACAAAAATGAATGGATGAATTTTTAATATGACAAATACGACAAATAATTTGGAAATAAATATTCAGTACATAATAGGAAAAGTTGATGATAATCGCTACCTAATAATACTACAAATTATAATTAGTACAATTAGAATTTGGAATTATGAATTTGGTAAGAAAAAATGCTAAAATCAAATCTCAAATCTCATATTCTCAAAAATATTAATGTATAAAATTAAACAAAAATAATTTTTGGAATACCGAAGTAGCTTAAAAATTCGCTGGAGCCGGGACAGGCTTTGGTTTTGCTGACAAGCCAGTTAAAAGCATCTTTATCTTCCCAATTGCTCTTGCTGGATCCAAATGCTTCAAAAAAATCATAAGAAAAATTGTAATAGTTTAAAAATCCCATATGCTGGTTAGGCTGGTTCCACTGGCTACAAGGGTAAGACGATTCCAAGCTATTCGGTCTGGTGCTGTCGCTGATAGTAATAGAAACCATTCTTTGTCCCATCATAAAATATATATATATATACTGAAAAAAATTACCTTTGGGCAAGTCTTCGTGCAATTAAGAATAGTATGACATTTAAAAGCACTGAATCCATCCTGCATTCTTTCCAAACGTTTCTCTGGATAATCATCTCGAGAATCAATTATCCATCTGAAAATATTTTTTGCCATCAATTTTATTATTAAAATATTGTTTATCAATCTCTCTCGAAGCTGTATACTAAATATCTTCTAAATATTTTCCAATAGGGAAATAGGGAAAGTTTTGAACGAAGTGTGATACTCATCAATTAATCAATGAAGTAACAAATGAACTTCGCAACAATGAAATAAAAAATAAAATGAGCAATTAAGAATTGAGCGAAAATTATTTCAAAAAAAATTCACAGTGTTGCATTAATTAATAATTTCTTCTAACAGCTCTCACCATTACTGGTTAGGTTGGCTCACTGACTACAGGGGTAAGACGTTTCTAAGCTGCAGTATGATGCCATCGTCGACAGTAATAAAAATCTATATATTATTAGTCCACTTATATGTTCAAAATTCTGATTGTATCAGTCTTGATATTGATCGGACCATCTAGCTTTTGATACCCATCACAGGGTTTAGCAAATAACGAAATATCAACCCTTGCCAACCTTTGTGATGGGCTATGAAAAACGCGCCCTAACCAGCAAAGACTACGCTCTACAGTGGTACTATTAATGCAAGTGGTATTTGAGCATGTTGAGTGGTATTCGAAGGCGTTTGTGAGATTTTATCCACTCGGCAAACCCATAATATGTATCTTAGACATGAGTAGTCAAAGGTATATAAAATTTAAATAATGAAAACCTAAAAACTTAAGAAATTTACTAAAGTTATACCTGTATGCTTGCATTAAGACAGCGGGACCCAAGTATTTATCAGCATTCCACCAATATGAAGGGCAACTGGTACTGCAACAAGCACAGAGAATACATTCGTAAAGCCCATCCTACAAACTGCTTAAAATGATCAACATTCAAACTCATAGAAAAATTGATTGAAAGACTGATAAAAAAATTTACCAATTTATCGCGTTCGTTAGGTGTTTGATAAAGTTGTTTCTCGCCCAAATTTATTTTTGTTTTCTTTTGTAACCACGGCTGAATTGAAGCATATTGGGCGTAGAACAAATTCATATCTGGAATGAGGTCCTGAAAAATAAAATATTCATGTTGAAAAAAACTTCGATATTTTCTGCTAAAATATGCATAGTTACTTTTCATTCGAGAGGAAATACAATATATGAAAGAAAGTTAGATGGAAAATAATGCAAGTTACTGATGAACAAATAAGTCTGACCAACAAAATAGAATATAGAGACCTTTCATTATAGATAAACTAATGAAGGAATAAAGCGATAGGAGATAGAAAAAATTACGTAGGAAATGGAATGAAGAAAGAAAAAGGAAAAGCAAATGAAGTATTTCCTTTACATGGTAAGAAAAACGCAAAAAGGAAAATTTTTTTTTTTATGGAAATTGTAGAAATGAAGTTTTAAAAATTAAATTTTAAAAAAATGAACAACTTCACAGAAATGCACAACTGCATGGCCTTTCAAACTGAACAAAAAAAATTTCCCTGTTAAATACCAACCTTGACAACAAACATATGTGGCAGCGGATAAATTTTTGTACTTTTACTTGTGTCCTCGTCAATTTTGCAGATACATGCCAACGTATTTTCACCAGCAATATTCATCGCACAAGAACCACAAATACCTTCACGACATGAACGTCGAAACGTGAGTGTCGCATCCATATCATTCTTTATTTTAATTAGTGCATCCAAAACCATATTACCACATGCATCAAGATTTACGTCGTATTTCTAAAAAAAATTCTTTACTTATTTTTCTATATTATTTATATAATATATATTTATATAACAAAACATTAAATTCAAATTACCAATATTCACTAAAAAATTGTAAATAATAACTGGTAGTGTAAGATGGAATACCTGAAGATAGGGTTTTGCATTAGGTTTTTCCGGGTCGAAACGATAAATTTCGAATGTCTTAATTCGTCCACCAGTTGACGTTGTCGATGCAGAACGTAACACTGCCTGGCTTACAAGTTCCATTGAACGACATATTGTCCCACCATTACGAAGCATTTTAATCGATTAAAATCTATTCAATATAAGCATTGAAGCAATAAAATAGAATCATTTGGCGTGAGCTCCGTGACAGGTGCCAATGCAAATAAAAAACTAGCTGGGCAAAAAAGCAGACAACAAATCCTAGAAAACCTCACAGAAATATCAATTCCACGATTGCTAAGTTTAACCACCTTCTCCTTACTTCATCCCCCCTCCATCGCAAAACGCACCAAATTCACCCACCCTCACCACAATCTCGACTCCTCTTCGGCAGAAAATTGCAACTCAGGGATTGTACGGCCATCACTGCTATCTATCAGCTAGTCGAATAGCAAATAGGAAATAAATTCAATTTGATTAAACAAAGCGAGAAGATAACATTGGACAGCATCACTGCCTATGGACCTTAAACGTCACTTTATCAATTTCACGTCACTAGGCATCACTTGCTGATAATTCCTCGTAATTTATGGAGTTTTCTTTCTCTCTTCTTTCTAAGCGTCCAAATACTCTTATGTTGAACTTTTGAACTTTTACAGTTTAGCAAATGGAAAGGAAGAACTAAAATACATGACTACATACATCTCTTTAGAATCAATATCTTTAATAGGAAAAATAAAAAGTCGGTATAAAAGTGCTTCGACACGGATTCGCTAAAAAAAAATCGATTAAGTCCATGATAAAGGCCGCAATGAATGAATATTTATTTTAAATAGAATAACATAACGGAAAATATAAAAGAAAAATTTAAAACAAAAAATCACAAAAAAACGCGAAGCAAAATTGGAAAAAATAAATTTGAAAATTTCTTCAAATTTCATAAAGAATTTTTGCACAATTTATACCCTTCGATTTGAATCAATTTAAGTCAAAATAGCAATGACTGAAATGTGAAATGTGATATCCGCCTAAATAGAAGATATGCATTAGTGGAAATTTATGCCAAAAATTACGACCACAGGTAGTTTTCAACATCCACGACTCGACTTCATGAAACTGCTAAGCCATTTCGCTCTTCCATGCACCCTAGAAAAAGGATTCATCATGGATCTTTTTTATTTCATAAATTTAAACTTGTCATATGGTTGAAGCCTGAGTGAAAAGTGTTGATCTTTTTTTTTTGACAATTTCAGACAAAATTTGATAAAATTTGGTTAATGCAGAACTCTAACTTTGCGATCAAGTTTCAGCTTCTCTAATTGAAGTGCCATCTGTTGTGATCTGAATGTTAACCTTTTCGTAGCTTCCATAACTTGTTCATGAACCGACGTCGATTTTGCACCCATTACTACCTGTTTCTTTTACGATTTAAACGAGTCAGAATAATAACCAATAATAAATAAATAAGTTCGCTATCATTTAAAAACTTTACCTGCCCTAATTTTGAATCAATTTTAGCTCCTTCTATACGGTAATTTCGAATAAGGTCAACAATCCAACGCTCAGCCTCGACCTGAAAATTTAATCAGAATAATTTTAATCTTAAAACCAACAAGAAATATTTGACGCCAGATAAGCGTAATTTCTCTAACGTTCGAAAAATCAATTTAGCGTCCTCAATAAATTATGCATTCTGCTTAATTTATGTTTATCGATAAGAAACGAAAAATTTCACAAAACGCTAGTAAAACTCGAATCCTCATAAAAACTAAAGAATTCACTTGTTTCATATTAAGACGTTCAGCAAGCATTTGTATCGAGATACATTCATGAATACGGCAAAACATTTCAAAAATAAGAAGACGAGCACTTTCTCGAAAATCATCGAGACAAGCAGTCAAAAAGAAATCATTTGATAATACCTGAAAATTTAATAAACTATTAAACTTTAAGCGACTGAAAATTTAATAAAATAAACTATTAAACTTTTAGCGATTAAAGGTCAAACTACTTTTTTTACCATGAAAGAATAAGAAAATATGCATAATTTTAACACTTACATCCTCACATTGGCGAAGCTTTTTTTGTGCTTCATCGAAATCAAACTTTATATAAAGACAAGTTAGGAAATCTGTAACTGGATCTTCATAGTTGTGATGTTCCTAAAAACACTGGCTTAATATAAAAGAAAAACTGTATTATCATCAAAATTTCGAAATTTTTTAATTTTTCGATATAATAAATATTATATTAATATTTATTAAAGCAGATTCACTGCAATCTCCTATATCTCCTTATTTATAAGAAATTATTTTAACTTATTAATGCTTATCTTATAAAATTGAAAAAATAAGAAAAAAAAATAAAAAATTACAATATCAATAACTCTGATTAAATCTTTTAAACTATTTTTCTGTTTCGCTTTACTAGTGACAACTGCTACTGCCAAATAGCGAAGAAGATGAGGACAAGCAATCTGAAATTATCAATTATATATCGTAATATTATTCATTAATTGAGTTAAAAATTCAAAAAAACTCTGTTCATACTATTTATCGACAATAATTAACTCGTAAATAATAAAAAAAATTTTTACCTGAATAGTATTTAAATACGACTGCTGATTTAAACACATTTCAACGATTTCATCCCTTCCTTTAGGATAATTGAAATAAACAAATAAAGCCCAATGCATTAACCAAGCTCGTTGTTGAACTGATTCTATTTCCGTATCAAATGGATTGAAATCAATGTATGCGCGAAGTCGAGCCAAATCATCTTTTGCATGTGTCCACTCCTAATGAAGATAAAATAAAAAATAATAAAAATAATATTAGTAATTATTATTGATTTGATTTCAACTATATTTTTAATATCAAGAAAAACAATTACCTGCAAAAGAATTTCGGATGCTAGCTTCCCATACAAAACATTTAAATAATTGGGATTTTGTTGTGGAACGAGATTGCGATAATAATAAAGGCAAAGAGAAGCAGCTGAATAATTGCCACATTCATATTGAAATTTGGCATAACGAAATAATGAATCGAGCATTTCTTCAGTAAACTATAAAAAAAGCCGATTTAGAACTCTTGGGAAGAATAAATTAAATCGATTTTAATTCAAAATAAAACGAACAAAAATTCTCAAAATGATGGAAATTATTTTAATTTAATTTAATTGCATATTATGGCAATACTAATCAAAAATTGATTGATTATGATTATGCTATGAAGCGTCCACTCCTAAGCTATCAACTCTTAGTTTTCAACTACCAGCGAACATTATATGGATAAATGATCGCCAATCTACTCCTAATTTGATCTTTCAAGTGTCAACATAATACTTATGCAAATGAATCCTTTCCTGGAATATCAAATAATGCGTTCGAAGTCAGATAATCTGATCCTTTATTTGCCTCGACTGAGAATTCTAAGACGATTGTTTTGTCGATTATTGATTGAATGTTGCAGTATTGTTTCTTATTTCTTCTAATGGCTTCATTTTCTAAGCCACTTTGATTTATCCTCAAATTCCAATTCAAACGGAAACAATGAATTGAAACTACATAAACCTGTTTACAAGACATATTTACTATCGTAATTTTGGTTTCTCATCTTGAAAGTTATCGTGATTTATTCTGATATCCAGTTTACTTTCATCACTTTTGGCAGTTTAACTGATTTAAACAACTTCTTTATTTCCAAATTTTATGTTTCTACAGAAATTGCTTCTTGATGGTTTAATTGAAAATGAATATATAAAAACCTTTTTTCTTCCACCTCGTTTTAATAATAACCAATTTGATTTTTATTTTTATGAATGTTGTCTGACGATTTCCATCTACTAATTTTGGTGATTTGAAGGCGATGTTAACCATAAAGAAATTACAAGTGCAAAAAGAAATCGATTTTCAGCACTGCTTCAGCTTTCTAAGCCATACCATCCAACTAACTTTCCTTTTTGGTTCTAAACGATGGCGTTCCAGTTGTTTTACACGTTTTTTTGCATGTTCTGCCAAAATTTTAAATTGAACTTGTATCATAGAAGCCATCAACCTTCTTTTCCATTGAAATTACAGCATAAATTTGAATGATCGTAATATTAAGGATTGTCCACGTCTGACTGATAATATTCGGTTGTTGACAGCAATATAGCCAAGCACTTGTTCTCGCTATAGTTTTTTTCTTCCTAATTATAATGGCAAATAGCAACATCATTCCTTTTTTATTTTTCAAAACCTGAATAATAAACGATATGATCTTCAGACCAAAAGTGTGTAATCCCAATTCATTTCAATTCGCTGACGTCTAATCCCATTTCACAACGCTTCTTATGTTTCATGTAGCCATTGTAATTCTACCACTGCTAGTCTTGATTTTCTTTTCCTATATGATAGCACCATTAGTTAAATTTCTCGAAGACTTTGATATATGCTACTGGCACTGTTTCTCCGAAAGATAAATACTTTTATTCAAAAGTAGATTGCACGCCATCCAGTACAATACTGATATAATAAATTCTTTGTGGTTTTTTTGGTAAAATCAGAAATTTTTCTTTAAAATGAATAAAATATTGGAAACTCACACCATGATTGGTCGTAACATAATCAAGTAAACGGCTATTTCCATCTCTTGCATCCATCATTGCTTTAACAGGCTCTGATTCCAAAATTTCAACGACTGGATCGACTTTCGTTTTCAATTTTTCTCTCTGAAGATTTCAATAAAGCTTTTACCAAAAAGAAAAAAAGAAAAAATTTCGGTAAAAATGAAAAGAAAAGTGACCTGACTAAGAATTTCAGCTTTCTTCAATTCTAATTCTTTCGGAACTTTACCAGATGGATAAGTTTCTATAATACTATCAATCATATTGGTTTTCAACAATACTTTTCGATGAAATTCTATCAAAGATTTTCGATCATAAATCTAAAATGTTTCCTCACTTGAAATCGAAATTATTAAATTTTTCAAATAGCAAAAAAAGAAATAAATAAATATGAGAAAAAACATGCAAGAAAAAAATATACTAACATTTCGCGGCTCAATAAATTCTAGTAATGGGATAACTAGATGAAGATCCAAAAACTGGGACATCTTTTCAGTTAAATCGAATTCCGCCATTTTGAAAAAATAGGATCTGGAAAGAAATTTCATAAAAAACTGCTCAACTCTAAAAACCACTTCACATGTATATATATATATTTTCATTAGTTGCGTGCGAAGTCACAGTAGCAATATGGATAAAGCAAACTCTTGCTAAGGTGGTAGTGGAATAATACGAGAGAATCTCAAAACTAATAAATTGATAGCGGAAAAATGAATCGAAACAAAAAAAAGAATATGTAATAGAAGAAAAAGAAAAAATATTGATTAGTAACATAGCTCGAAAAGTTTTTTTAAAATGACAAAAATAGTATATATTAGTAAAAGTAAAAACATTAAAAAAATATATATTTCAACAACACGACAAATACTTTGGCAGGAATAAAGAGACCGATCTTAATAAATCAGAGCATTTCTTATCGATATGTGGGAAAATCGTTGCTCGCCAACGCCATTCCGGACTCACTGAGAGGTTTGACTCTGCTGCTCGATGACAGATCACTAGAAAGAACTGCTTAGAGTTGAATTCAACGAAAAATTTTAAAGAAATCGTTTCACAAACCTAAGAGAATTCAAGACCAACATAGAAGGACATTTACGTGAGAAAGAACGTCAAAACGTCAGTTCATGGTCCAAATAACCAATGAAAGCTAAGAAAAAAAGAACTAATGAAAAGGCATAAAACTGCCAAAAGCCAACAAAAAACAATGAACAATTATTTGCTGAAATTGCAAAAAACAATTGGATCAAACTATTAAATATTATTGAAAAAAATGAATTTTTCAAGTAAAGTTTACAATGAACTAAATTCAATATCGAAAAACTCAGTCAAATTTAACCGCCCGAAGGCCAATCAATGTTAAGCAATGCCAAACACAGCGCAATGAAGACCGCAAAATATCGCGTGGAAATCACTGGCACGAGAAAGTGCGGCCCTTACTTTTCTGAATTTCGTTCAAAATCAGTTATTTTGCGGATTTGAATAGCACGTATTCGTTCGATGAAGTGAAAATTAGCCTATGAAATTGGTTGGATTAATAACTGCCTCATTCTTTTTTCAATAAAAAATTATAAACTAGCAAAGTATAAATTATAAGAAGTGTGCACACGCAGTATGGGCCGCATTTTTATGGAAATATTAATTCGCAGCTGCAGACGACGGCAGATGGACAACTTGCGCCTTGAGTTGATGTTTTTTGCACACTTTTTAGTTTATTGAACTTTTGTCTCGGGATTCTGCATTCTAATTTACAATTGGATGAACATTTCAGTGAAAAGGAGCGGCCGGCAGAAATGGTCATTGCCATTAATTCGCCGTTCAGAGGTTTTCATGCGAGTTAGACTGTGCGACTCAAAAAATGGTTGGGACAGACACTCATTTTATGGGGGTGGCGCTGCGTTCTGCAGTGTTATCCTGTGTGGTCGCCTAATTTCTATAAAAGGGCTTCTGTGTTTCGGCGAAGGCGAAATGAAATGTTTGGTGCAATATTGACACAGGACAAAGGAATTACTGAATTGCGAATAATAATGTTTTCCTATTAGCGGCAAGGAATTCGGGTGTCGAATAATCGATATATTTTCATACGGAAGGAAATGGGGATAGAACGGTTCAATGGGTTGTTTCTCAATTCGGAGCGCCAGTGCTGAGATTCTGTTCCCCGCAGGAGCAAAGCTGTACAAAAATCCGAATGATGCTGGCGATTCACCGTTATCGTTATCACCAATGGACTCCCTGGCATATTTGTCCAGTGACAAGCCAGCGGAGCAATTTGGAAAAAATATGAGATGAGTAGATGGCATTGTTGTTTTTAATAATTTTAGTTCCAATAAAATTTCGGGTTCTGAAAACATCAATATCTGGTAATGCAAAATGAATGGTACTGGAAGTTTCAATAATCCTTAACATGTGGTGGCTGTTTATTTTTCTATTTTATGTTATCCTTGGTCTAAAATTTGACGAAGATTTGTTGGCAGAAAATAAAAGATCTTGGTTTTTAAATGAACCATGTCAACATTACATCGAGGTTAGTATTGTTTTTTATATTTCAGTGGTTTCGAATTGCTTTCTTTGAAGAGTTTAATGAAAGATTTGGATAATTCTTGGGTTTCAGTTTTGGATTCTTTCAGCAGTATTGTGGAAATTCCTTCCTTGAGAAGAATTCCGCATGTAAATACATAAGTAAAAAATATTGCTGGTGAGTTAAGTTTTTAGATTATAGGTTTATAGGTTTATTTATCGGTTTTTTCTAAAAAAAAGTGGTTTTACCAATATTCAGTATTCAGTTTGCGATAATGATATGTAGAATTTTTGAAAAAATGCCACTTTTCTTAGCTTAACAATGACTTCCAGAAATTATTTCTCATTCCACAGATCTTCAGAGATTCCAAGAGCCAATTTATTTCACCTTTTTTTCTCACTTTCATTGTATCGAGAATTTAAAATTGAAATTTTAAGAGCATTTTTGAAATTAATGGTTTAAAATTCATGCAGTTTTAGTTTTTATTTCATTTGCTATTTCGTTATGTTATTTCGTATTTTTAGAAATTTTCCAAAGTAAGTTCAGTGATGATTGCATGTGCAGTTGAGAATTCAGCTCCACCAACAGTTTGTACATATTGCACTGATCAATATATTATAGTGAAGCAACTGGAATATGAGCTGAAAAATTTGGTTTTTTTTGTTTTTTATATTTTTTAATATTTAATTTTTGACTTATTGGAAATAAACAAATAATTTCTCGATTGAAAGCATTTTTTGTCTTAAAATTGATTTATTTAGCAAAATGTTACGTCTTTGGATAATTCTTCTTGCACTCATGTTATATACAACAATTATGTTGTATCTTATGTTTCGGACATATCCGATCTTATAACACAGCGATTTTGGATGGATTCTCGTTGCGAATGTTCGTTCTTTTTTCGATTATATATATTCATAAATATATATAATATATATATATATAATTTAGTTTAAAAAATTTTTTACTGCTTTGTGAATCCAAATTATCATTCAGCCAATATTAATGCTGGTTTAGGTGATTTAGCATGTTAATTTTAATTTCTTTTTAATTTTTCAGCTTGTGTAACTATTCAGTGGAATTTCACAGCGCAGTCCGATTATTATTTTAAAGATAATGCAATTGAATTCCAAAACAAATTATTTAATTGGAGTGATTGTGTAAAATCTAATTTTGTTCAAGCAGAAGAAAATTCGACTGTTTGCGACAAATGTGTTAAACCATTTAATAAACTTTTCCAGTTTTATTGGGATGTTTATGCTGGTTCTGATTCAACTTTCTGTTTGGATATCGAAACTACGGTAGAAGTTTTGTTTTTCTTGAATTTTTCTTTTAGCTCTCACCATTACTTATTAGATTCGCTCAACTGGCTACGATGTTTCCAAGCTGCCTGATCTATTATCATTGCTGACAGTAGTAGAAATCATACCGTTTTCCATTGTCTAAGTCCCTGTACGTTTTTCAATCTTTCAAAATCCTAATTTTATCATCCTAGGTTTTAATTGGCCCACTTCGCTTTTGATATCAGCCATCACAGGGTTTAGCAAATAACGAAATATAAGATTTTTTTGTTCTGGGTGACGTAGGATGTGCTCTAACCAACGAATGCAATGCTTTATATGGTGATATTAATAAGGTGGTATTTGAGCGAAGGATACAGTCATGTAAGATTTATCTACTCAGCAAAACCGTAAAACCTATCTTGAACATGAATGGTCAAAGGCGGACCATGTCTTGCAGCCATATAGCAAGATAGAGAGAATCGCAGCTATATGCGCGCGAACTTCCATCTTTATGGTGGTTTTGCGACGCCTTCATAAAAATTTCGTTAATTGCCGTTTTAATTTCGTTTTTTGCTTGGCTATTTGGGATCCAAAATATTTTAAACCGGGCAAAACTGCACTTTATTAAGCGGCAGTGGATTGATAAAAATAGGTATTTTGTCAGTTTATCAATATATGAGACAAGGCTTTCGTTTTATTTACATTGTTCATGAATCTGATTTTCTCTAAAGTTGTCGACAATTGTTTAGCATTACTTGCATTGTCGTGAGCAAAAAGAACTGCATCATCAGCGTATTCAAGATCTGGGATACCATGCTCTAGACTGATTTGGATATCCCTTGAGTGCCGACAAGCGATGTCCATTACCCAGTCTATTGCATAGTTGAATATTGTAGGGAAAAGGATGCAGCCTTGACGGGCGCCAGTTCTTATTTCGAAAGAGTCAGTCAGTTCCCCATATACAGATCTGTCTATATATGCTGATAAAATGTCTTTATGAATCCAATGATTTTCTCTTGGACACCATCACATTCCATCACCATCCCCAAAGCGCCATGAATCGAAGGTAGTTGCAAAGTCGATGAAACACAACATTGGGTTGCATATTTTTGAAACGATGTTCCAACGTCCTTAACATAAATATTTGGCACACAATCATCCTGGTCTGAATCTAGCTCAGTTAAGGGCAATGTTTAGTAAGCTGGTTCCTCGATCATTGGCACAAAATGTCCTATCTCCTTTCTAAGGAATTGGGAGTAGAATTGCTTTGCTCCAGTCTTCTGGTTTTATTTCATTCTTCTGTACCAGAGAATAGGTTTGATATGAATAGTGATGAGGAACATTTGAAGAGTTCGGCCCGAAGACCAGCTTCTCCCAGAGTTTGATTGGCTTTAAACTTGTGAATAATAGATTATTTCATCTTCTTTTGGCGCTTTGCAGTTGTATAACTCCGAGCGAATCAGCTATATTCGGGATAACAGATTTTGTATCTTGGTTAAGTTTGGTCTCAAAAAGTTCCTTCTACCTTATGAAGCGATCCTTGATAGCTTAATAGGCGCAGCATTACTATCCCGTATCATTTCATTGACCGCTGCCCAATTTATGGTTCCTTTCTAAAGGCGAAATAGTCTCCTGTTACCTAACCGAGCCGCCTTCTTCATTGCAAGGCCATTTCGCTCTAATAACGGTTTCTATCTTGCCGTGCTGTTATCTTTGTAATTCTTCGAAGCATTTGATAGTTAGAATTTCCTGACATTTGCTTTGGTGACTTTTTCAGATACATTTAGATATTTCCTAGTATATTCTAATATGGAATTTTTGGAAACATTCCTTTATTCAGGATCAGTATTCTTTAACCGTTCTAGAGATATCATTTATATTTACATCACTGAGTTTCAATAATTCGATTTGAAATGCGCTCATTTTTAGTTTGAAATATTTGAAAGATCTTGTGAGACATTGTTTCTTGCATGTTGTCACTTTTAAGAGAATCTTGACTCGAACCATAACATGGTCTGATCCGTGAAGCTACCATTTTGGCGCCTCGATAGGAACAACTATCGTATACAGAATTCTTCCAACAATTAAACAGTAATGGTCACTCTTGTTGGAATGTTGATTATCCAAATGATTAGATGCCCGCTGCGATACCGAAAATGTATATTAATGACAATTTACGATTTGCCAAAGCGAAGAAGGCGTTCCCCATTCACCGGATCTTGATGCCATATTGCCAGTTACCGAGTTCGTCATGGCGGCATTATGACAAACGCGCGCAATCACGTTTCTCTTATTAATTAATTTTAAAAATTCGTTTATGAAATGGTATTAGCTAAGGCATCTTGTGATTGTAACCTTTATGATCTCGAACATGGGGGAACATAGAAAAATTATAATTATTTCTATTTTTCTTTCAAATAATTGTACTAAAATAATAGATGAATGACACAATGAATCTCTGGCATAATGTTTGGGGTTGTTCAAGCAAAAGCGGAAAAGTTGTTGAATACGATTTTTATAATGCGATCATTATTCCTACTTGTCTTGTTCTTCTCACTGCTGTTTTTTATATAGGAAGCTACAATCAAAGCGATCAGAAACTTCGAAGACTTGTGCAATGTATGATCAAGATTAAATTTTAAAATATTTTTTAGGCTTTAGCAGTGATGGTCTTTTAAAATCAAAATTAGTCATAAAATTTTTTTAGATTCTCGATTGGAGGAACCAAATAGTAGAAGGTCTCGAATTCTTAGCCCATCTTTTCGAGATGATAACAGTCCTTCGAATTCAATAAATGAAATTGAACCTTTCATTAACAGTTAAAAAATTGTCAATTTTGTATTAGATTTCTTGGAATATTTGTATTTTTTTCTCATTGCACAACAAAGAAAAATGGAAATTATTAAATTGGACTCATGTGAGATTTCCAGTTTTTTTCGCTATAATTTTTTGGATATTCAAATTTCACATGAGGCAACTAACTGTCACTGGCAATTTTAGCTATCCATTCGCCTTTTTAAAATTTTAATTTATATTTTTATGGTTAGTGATATTTTAAGATCACTAGTTGGGATGCATTCTGCACCTATATTATTGCTATAATTTTTCTCACTTATATTTTTTTTAATAGTTTCTAATATTTTTTCTTTGTATATATATATATATATATATATATTTATTATACTGAATAAACAAATTATCTTCAGTTTAAAAATTTTTTTTTTGATATATAATTTTATATACTTATTCGTTACTTTTGCGATTTTATATTTGCATATTTTATACAATTCTTATTGGATATGGTAATTCCTATTCCGAATAAAGAAAAAGAAATAAAAAAAAGAAAGAAAAAAGAAATATTGTTGTTTATGGTTTTTTGCTTAATTTATAGGAGTTGTGAATTTTTAAATGTTTAAAATGAAATAGGGGATATTAAGGAGACACTCTTGTTTTTTTATAATTTTAATTTCAGTTACAAATCTACATTTATTTCGATTGATCAGTTAATATGCCTGAAGTAAGTTTATTTTTATATTAAGTGCGAAATTTAAGTGGTTCGATTTTCAGTTTGCATTTCTTAACAAGAGAAATTTTTTGGTCTTTCTCTACAACACTGCTGTTTTAGATAGATCCAAATGTTGATCAGTTGACGCAGTTTCGAGAGATTTGTCATGAAAAAGTACAAAAGTTCAAAGAGCGACTCGACGAGTGCAACAAACGTGTAACATCGAGGAAGAAGACGAGTGAAACTTGTCATGAAGAGATGGTCGAATATATGCACCATCTGGATCATTGTGTAAGTTTTTGTTTTATAAATGATGGTTATTTTTGATGTACAATCAACATTGTCGAAAGTGCAACATTATACCACAAAATTATTAATTTATTGTGCAGTATCTTTCAGGCAATGCCGCAAGCTTTCGCTACTCTTAAATGATAAATATTTAGTTGATATTTTTTGTATTTTGTAGAAAATTGTACTTGTAATTTCTAATAAATTTTTCATCCATCATTTTCATTGTTCGAGCTGGTCGATTTATCGTGTCGCACATATTCGACATTCATCTTACGAATAAGAAAATTACTTTCTATTTCAACCATTTATCAGTCTAATGCAAAATGAATAATTTATTTATAATTATATTATAAATAAATATTCATTTATAATAAATAATTTATTTAAAAAATAAAATGCAAAGTGAAGGCTTGGAATGTCGCAGTTCTTCTGGAGTAAGGTTTGTAAATGGGAAATTTAAAAGGAGAAACTAATGGAAATTTCATTGAAAATAGGTTTTTTTCCAAGCTTCAGTATTCAACATTCAAATAATCCTTTTTATATATAGCAATGTAACTGCCCACTTTTTAAGGATTTTTCCTGAAATCGTTAATTTTTTCGCTTACTTGTTATCAATTTTAAATGAAAGGAAGGAAGGAGCGATCAATCACTTTTTAACAGTGGTTTTAATACATTATTTTTTTTAAAAAAAAAAGACTGAATAATTCCAAGAGGAAGGAAGTAGGTGTTATTCTGATAAATATTTTAAAATAATTTTTTTTTGTTTTTTGTGGGTTTCGGCAAAAATCTGAAAATGATTTTTTGGCAGCAATTTATATGAAATCTATGAGCTCCAAAAACAAGAATGAATAATTTATTTATAATTATATTATAAAAAAAATATTCATTTATAATAAATAATTTATTTAAAAAATAAAATGCAAAGTGAAGGCTTGGAATGTCGCAGTTCTTCTGGAGTAAGGTTTGTAAATGGGAAATTTAAAAGGAGAAACTAATGGAAATTTCATTGAAAATAGGTTTTTTTCCAAGCTTCAATGTATTTTTTCCAATGTATTTTATTCGACGGTGAAAATTTTAACAGGCGATAGATAAATATTGAAAATAATAAAATTGCAAGAGGCTGCTTACGATTTTCGATGGTTAAGTGTAATTCAAGATAATTATTAATTGCAAATGTTGGCATTAGCGATCAGAAAAATCAATATAGCGTCAAGGTTTTATTCATAAATAAATAGCCTCGAGCTATAGCCAAATATTTCAGTCAATGCGAATATTAATACCAAAAAATTTTTTCAACGATGCAGTTTGGTTTACTGGGTTAAAGAAAAGTGATCAATACTACTGATTAATACTGATCAACCAATCATTAAAGAAATTGCTAATTTGAAAAAGGTGGAAAACTTAGAGAGTACACTTAGCAGGAGCCAGTGCCTCGCGAAGAGAGCAAATTCTCTATTTTTAAAAATTGAGGGTGACTTTTGCCTCAACAAGTTGCATTCAATTTTGATCGAAAATAATTCTTAAATTTTTAAAGTAAGGAAGGAAAGTATGAAAACTGATACCAGATACCAGGAACAGAGCTCAAAAGACTTAAATTGGGAGGCCCCAAGTAATTTTCTCCCATTGGTGACAGCAAGACAGCAAGGGTGTAGAAGTTTCCTTTGAACGTATAAATCTAATATATCGCTGTGAACTGTGGGAAACTTTAAAGAATTTAATATTTAATCGGGAAATTTTTTTAATCCTTTATTTATTGTCAAAAGTTCTCCTTAGAACTTAAGAAAAAAGATAAAATAGCGAAGAATACGAAGTGTAGTGTACTTGAAGAACTTGAAGAACATTAAAAAGTTATGGGATTGGCTCACTTAATGATATTTGTGCTGCATTCGTGCTAAAAACTGTTCTCAACCAGCCTTCCTGCATAAACTTAAATTTTCTTCATTTTTTGATTTTTAAAAGTTATTTTTAATTGTATCCTTATTGGTTATTTTTTATTAGAAAAAATTGCTTTAATTTTGAAAAATATGTTTTTTTTTTAGAAATAAATGATTTCTTCCATGAAATGATTTTTCTTAGAAATATTACTCTTCCGAATGGATGGTGGTTGCTCACGACTCATGTATCAATAAATCACTGATTTTAATGATTTGCTGAGACGGAACTTTCGTAGCCAAGCAAGATAGTAAGGAAGCAAGAAATGATGCATACTGATCGAAGAAAAAAAATATTACATACATAATTTCATTATATGAAATATTTTCCTAATGGTGGACTATTTCCATTTTATAATTAAATATTATAAATATTTTAAAATAAAATGGAATTTAATTTATATTTAAATTTGAAATTCACAATTTTTGTAGTTTTCTAAGTATTTTTAAATTTTAGTTCTTATTAAGCAAGTTTTATAATAAACCTAATTCATGCGTATTTTATTGTAATTTAGTTTGTTGTACTGGAAAATTAATTAAATATTTTCGAAAAGTTCAATAAGATTACAAAATTATTTGTAATTTAAATTAAAATGAATTTTGAAGAAAATAATTACATCTGTGAATTACCTTTACCTTTACCATAAATACTACAAAAATACCTTTTTTTTGAAAAAAAACCCTTTCTGGTCCACTGTGGGTAATCGCGCATCCTCTATCAGTGGCCTGGAATTTTGAGGGTTTTGCGCATCTTGGCTGTTCCTAGCAGTACGCTCTTCTTGCTAAAAGTCTCCGATGTTGTTCGCTAAAAGTCTCCAATGTTGTTCCTGGAATCTGCTGAAACCATTTTTTTAATTTAGGAGTCAGAATTCCAAATGTTAAGTTATCATCAGAACTACTTTTGCCTTTACTTTTCATATCTTCTTCAGTTACCTCTTTCAACCTTTGGTATCTCTCAACTTCTCATTCCTTCTTCATAACGTTCCTGTTACTTCGTATTGTTATATCAATCACCAGTGGTGATTTCTGATTTTTATATATTCTACGTTATCTGGTTGATTTGCCAGTACTTGCTTGTCTGTCTGGACGGCGGAATCCCAGAAGATCTTCGTCTTATTATTCTCTGCGATTTTCTGAGGAATTCAGTTTTAAGAGGATCTAAGCCATATACGGTGCAGATGTTCCTGTAGGTAATGTCAGCTACTTGGTTATGTCTTTTAATGTATGTTGTTCCTTACATCTTGTGGACTGTTTCTGGGGTATCTTTGCACAGTCATGCTTCACAAAATCACTTCTATATTTCGCCACAAATAGTAAAATTATGGCGCGATTAAATGCTATATCTGTTTGAAAATGTAAAAATATTTATATTTTTTTTAAAGATGCAAATTGAAAATTGATAATTTTTGAAAATTTTAAAGAAATTTTACGAATTTGTCGAGCTAATTTTTGCGTTATTCTTTTATTATACTTCTATTTGTTTATTATTTTTTTTTATTGTTAAAATTTTATTTTTATTATTAAAAATAATTGTTTATTACTTTTGCTATATTTTCGAATTGCCAAATTATTTTATATCGTTAATTTCGCAGAAAAATAAAAAATATTTTTATTTTATTGATCTAAACAAAGAAGAAATTTGCTACATAATTCATTGCACAAATTTCAGATAATAAATGAATACACTCTGCCAAAAATATATATTATTAATCTTTCTTATAGTTGAAATTTTCGGTGAAAAGACAAGATTGAAAGAACCATCTGCAACGATTGCCTTAACAAATGTAGGTAACGAAAAATGATAATTAATTTTAGTGACAATATATTCAGATGGCTAAAAACCAAAATGAAGAAGAAGCGTATTGCTCCGACAAAATCGAATTATCATGTGCTCGGTTTATCTAAGAAGTCCTTTAGGGTTGTTATCAAAAGTGAAAAGCGAGTGGCAATGTAGGCCCACTTCAATCCCCAAGTGACTCCTTAACGACAGGACCTCACCCGCATCAGTGGAACCAGCCAAATCATCACTAGAAGAAGAAGAAAAATCAACATAAACTCAATCTGAATTAAAGATATCCAAATTTAATAATAATGAATTATTTCAGCCATGCTATATTTGTTCAGCTGAATGGAGGCTTCGAGAAAATATGACGAGTGTTCAGTTCGAAGATGGAATTAATTTAGCGAATGACGAAGATAAGGTTGACTTTCCTTCTTGTACCTCCCAAAGAAAACAAATAACTCATAAATAAGAAAATAGATCACAAAAGCCTGCCATAAAAAAATTCGAGTATCTCTAAGAATATTTAGAAATGTTCGAATTTTTTTATCAGATGTTTTACTATGGAGTTGAGACGGAACTATTTCCCTGATATGTTATTTTTATTTTTTTATATTATATAATAACATATTCTAAAGTGGTGCAATTTAAGCCTAAAAATATATTCATTTAAGTACAATTTTTTCAAGTCAGATTCAGCGTTGAATAATTTTATGAAGTATGGGATAGAATGGCTCAGAAGGTTGTTGCTCAATTGGGAGCGTCGATGTTGAGTTCGATTCCCTGCCGGACTAAACCTGTACAAAAATCCGGGTGATGCTGGCGACTCACTTGTATTTCTATCGCCAAGGGACTCCCTGGCATATTGTCCAATGCGACAAGCCAGTTGAGCGAGTCTAACCAGTAATGGTGAGAACTCTTAAAAAAAATTTTATGAAGTGGTTTCTTTTTATCATTATTCAAATGCTTGAATTGAATAAGTCTTCTAACTCCAATCTTTTTAGGCTCTAATTTTCAGTGTGAAGCAAATGTAATCAAAGACATAGAAAATAAATTAGAAATGATGAACCCAAAGTCATGGATCCACGACGAAATCAATGGTGCCAATCTTCGCCAGGAAACTGAGAAAGTAAGTCTCATTAGAAGTGAAAAAAATTGTTGAGAAAGAATTGTCTAAAATATTTCTTGATATTAATTAATTAATGACGATGTTGAACTAAAATTTCAGTTTTTCGAAGTGATTCGATATCGTAACAATACAAACAAAATACAAGAAATGATTGACAAACTATTAAATAAATGGAAAAAATATTGGGAACAACAAGATTTTAATAAATGGTCAACGCTTAGAAACTGGTTGAAACTTTCCAATATTCGAAGGCGAATTCAGGTTATTGAAAAAGATCTCCGAAACGATCAATCGCCAAGAAATAAGCGATTATTAATGCGAATCATAAAAGCTGAAACACTGATGCAAATGACAAAAAAGGAACTTCAAGAACTTTATGCTAAGTACCATCTCGAAAGCAAATTATCATATTCAGAAAATAAGCTACGACAACGAATCATGGCTGCGGTAAAATCGCCTTCTTCTAAGGAAATTCCATCACGAGATAAAAGAAGACGTAAGGTCAGATATAATCATATATATTGGCCCAAAGCAGCTTACAAACTGTTTTAGCTTCTAGGTATTTCTTAGATTAAAATATATCTAATATTATATAATATAAATATAGGTATTTCTTAGAATAAAATATAATTATATATATAAATATAAAATATAACATAGATTTTGCTTAGTTTACTGAATAAAACTTGTCGTATAATATATAGAGGATAGTATGTATTATTATTATATATCGTTTACAAAGAACAATCGCAAATCTGGAAGTAGGATTGTTGCTATTTTCGGAAAATTGTTGTGAAGCATTAAATCAACTGGATATTTGCATATGATAGGATAAACATTTTAGTGATAAATTCTGTTAATGATAAGCATTTTACAAGACCTTACTTACAATAAAAATTTTATATTTGCCGTTCATATATTATTATTGTATTGTCATAAAAAAATTTAAATTGATTCCTTATGTATATTTTAATGAATTTTCCCGAAAAATTTCTTACCATTATCACTTAAAATCCAAATATTTCATTATTAACAGTTACTATCGAATTTATACCATAAAATGATTAAAATCTATTGATATCTTCAATAAAAGGTTCGAAAACTAATTTCGTCCAATTTTCTTCTATCTTCATCACAGCAAGTAAATAATTCATAATAACCATTTCTGGTTCTGCTGGTTGTTTATTATGGTTGAAAATTTAGCAAAAATCATTTGACGATAGAAGTACAAACGGATTTCGCTATCGCGAATTTTGAATGATAAGTTCACTCCTGTCGGTGATTGGTAGGAGCCGAAACCTTACAGTTCCGAGCCATTATTTACTTTGCTATCCTTCCTCTATCCCCATCAAAGCAATGAAAAAAATAGAAAACTGCAACATAACTTGATCTCCATATATAATAAAATAAAAATTTATAAGAAATTCGTTATTAGCAAGATGTGAATGTCGGTTGGAGATAATTGACTATTGTAGCTGAACGATCTTCGTTTGCAGCGAGTAGAAAGATTTCCGGGCTCAAAGCTTGATCCAATCTGATTTTAATCGTTGTAAATCTAAAATTCATAAGAATTTTAATGAACTTTAATGTAACTTTAATGAAAGTAAAATTATAAATTAAGATAAAAATTAAGGCAAATTAATGGCAATTGTTAAAAAAAAATTAAAATTTTTACAAATGTAATATGTTACAATTAACTTTTTAATAAAAATTTTGACTTTTTAGTTCTCAGAAAACAATTCATTTCTCCTTAACAGCATCTATCAGTTAAATTTTTGATAAAAATTTTGACTTTTTAGTTCTCAGAAAACAATTCCTTTCTCCTTAACAGCATCTATCAGTATTCATCATTACTGGTTGGGCTGATTTTACTAATATTAGACAATCTCTTGGGAATGCAGTTTTTACTGTTGACGCATCTAACACTGCAAGAATTCAATTTTTTTTAGTCAATTACTATTCTATGAAAATAACTCAAAGCATATCAATCCGATTAAGATCCAGTACCAAGGGTTCGATTTTTTTCCTTGACAAAAACGACTAAGGATAAAATCTTGATGATAATGTCTGGCAACATATATTCATGCTTCGTATATATATTCATATATTTTAATTTCTATTATGAAATATTTACTAATGGATTAGTCCATTTAATAATCAAGTATCTACCATAAATTTTATAATTCTATTGTAATATACCTATTATTTGGCACAGATCCGACGTATATTGATGGTATTGACCCAGCTTTAGTGCACTTCATATCCACTCGATGATAGTGATGTATATGAGCATGCAATATAAATATGCGCAATTTACGATCTTTTCTTTCTCCATAACTAAAATATCCATAAATTTTAATGGCTTGCTGAAGATGATAACTTGCTTGGATTTGTTGATATTTTTTTGAGTTATTTTTTTCTTTTGATAATAACAACAATAATATTTTGATAAATCAACTTCTTTTCTGAACGACCTCCATTCCTAGTTATGTTTTGCTTTGTCTAACTAATTTTGCCATGAATTACTTGACAATAGAAGTATGTGTGAATCGGCAGCATTCTAAAAATTCTAAAATTCAGCCAATTCTAAAAATTAACATAAAACTAACAATTTGTCTAAAATATCTCTGATTTTGATTCGGCTTATCAAATCTAAATTATGCAAATTGATGAATATTGGCAGCGATTGATTAAATGAATTCAATACATTGGTCAACCATTGAAATGAATTCGTTATTTGCCATGACGTGAATGGTGCTTCAATCTGAGCAACATAACTCGGTCGATTATGTAGTTGTATCACATAAGCACAATTCGCACCTCAAAAATTTTATTTCAATTTCTACTTAAGCTATTATCGACCCACTCACCAGTAGCAAACATAGAGGCATTAAATTATAAAGGAGAAATTTATCCTAAATTCGGATTTGAATTTGACGTTCTTCAAGGATGATATAGGGTTTTTAGGGTTAAAAGACAATGAGAAAATTGAGTAAACGAAAATATAAAAAAAAACCTGACGGACTGCAGATAAACTTTTTATATGCAAAACTACCCAAATACGTCGTTTTGAGGAAGAATTCTTGCTTTTTATGATAATCAAGTTCAAGATCATTATTCTCACTGAATTTTATCAGCCTGGAAATGGTGAAAGTGATGGATCTAAATTAAGAAAAATAGCCACATTCCAGGTTAGTCATTGATTGACATAAATCCACATTATGCATACCTGAAGTCATCGCAGACCATCCAATACATATCAATGATGTTAAATAATTCCTTTTTTTATACAATTTTTTAATAAATGAGAGGAGAATTAGTTAAAGTAGAAGCTTATTTAAACTTTTGTTGGAATTATTTATTTTTACACAAATAAAACAATGGAAATATTGCTATTTGCTAATAAAAAGAAACCAGCTTTCAACCATTTAGACAATGCGGAATCAAAGATAACCAATAAAGCATCCGATTTGCGCAGTGATTACCAACACAATCGTTGACATTATTTTCATAATCATGGTTGCCTAATCCAGGCAATATTCGAATTGGAATAGTTAACCATTGATCCTGAAAAGAGAAAATGCGATAATATCTATCTAAGTTATTAATATACCAGTTCGCTGAAATTTCTGATCAATCTCATAGGTAATTTCACAATACTCAGGCGATTAATTAATTAGTCGATCAAATGGTTTCTTATCACGTAAGGTATAACATTAATCTTTTGTAAGATTTATTTATTTACCTAAATTTACCCATAATTCTCATTGCTAAAAAATCTCAATAATCTAGTTTCACCAAATTGGCTATTAAAATTTTATTAATTTTGCTAAGGTTTAAACCTTAAAAGTTTCTAATTCATGTAGATGACCGTAACCAGTCAGATCTCCGTTCAAAATCAGTGCTGATGGTTTTGATTTCATCGATAGTATCAATTTACGAATAACTTGGCTGAAAATTGAAACCAAAACGTATAAATACTTTTTTCCTCAATTTCAATTCCGTAGCTTTTGTTACTTTTGAATAAATAAATTACAAAAACCGAGAAGCTTCATTGGCTTTCAATTAAAAAATCTTAATATGAGTAATTTGAGATAAATTTACCTTTGAATTCTATTAGAAAACAGAGATTCTCGTTCTAGGCATTCTTGAATATATTTTAGCCTAATAACTTCACTTATATTTCGTTTAAATGCTTCAGATTCGTTAAGTTCACAATTCTAAAATAATCAGCAATAAATAATACTTTAATTTAATTCAATCCATACTTATCGGGGCAGTGAGCCACTTGTATTTCTATTCTAAATTAGTTCAGTGGCGAAAGAGGCTAGTGAACCAGTAATTTGCTGTTGAGTATTGTTGGAAGCACCTAATTTCCGGCTTCATAATTTATCACAAAGAATTTGGTGCATCTATATTTTTACAATATGTGAACAGGAGTTAGTTGATAATCTTATCATTCATTTATCTTCCTGCAATTTAAAAAAAAATTTAATCTTACTAGAGCTAATCCGTTTTTAAATCGGATCGATTTGCTTGCTAATTTGCAAGCATCATTACCAATCGTGCATTGAAAAAAATATTGTGTATCTGCTGTGAAAAGTATCAAAAGATCATCGTCTGTCGTATTAATGAGATTTCTCAGTAAAAGTTCACGATTCTCTTAAATAATTAAGCCTAAGCGACGCTTTTCTAAAATAACAAATCAACAAAAGAACAGAAATGTAAGGTTTATGCATAAAACAATATACTGTAGTAAGGCAAGAAGCTAAAGGAAGGGGATGTCATGGCTGTTTGATTTCAAGCATCAATTCGTTTCCTTGTCTCTTGACAGGAATAAGCCCGCCAAAATAAATTGGATCCAGATAGTGCAAGAAATACAGCCTGCAATTATACCCTCTTGAAATTATCTGGTAACACAAATAGGGCACATTGGTCCACTTGAACTGCGACATTGTACCTCAGTGACTGATTCTAGTACAATATTTCCCACAATATTTCCCCTCTATGACCAAAACAAAAAGTTTTATTGAATTTCTAGGACGTAGAAATATAATAAGGGCTGAGAAGGTATTTCTTGGATCTACTCTTTCAGTTACTGGACCACATTTTAGGAAAGGCGTTTAGATTTATGCAACTAATATTAAAACATAATAAACTAAAAATGATGTCATAAAAAAATTTAATGTGGGCCAGAATGATGGAAAAATATGTTGCTTTAACTAGATTGATTCTCGATAGAAAACCCTATAACTTAAAGTAGAATTCATATGGATACGCTAAGGACCCACTTTTATTTCTATCGCAAGTGACTCTCATCCTAATAGTCCATAAAACCTCGGAACCAGAGGGGTTGAGCACTGTTGGAATAAAGAATAATTGGATATATAAATCTCTTACTTCTGATAATAAAGAAAATAAAAAATAGCAAAATTCACCTAAAGTAGATGTTCTATCATGAATGAGAATTTCATTATCCACAAATGTCGAATAGATTGTAAATAAGAAGATTGTCCTTATTCCATCCAATATCTTTTTCATTTCAACCATTGGCCTTCTTAAAAAATTAATTATGGAGGTCGTTTGTCGATTACAAAAACATTAAACAAATATTGTTATTAGAAAATTTTGCAAAATCTTATTTTTCAAACAATTACTATTTAAATTCTCCATTTTTGTAGCTATATGATGTCTTAAAAGTGATATGCTTGTCATGCATTTGCAATTTTTGCATGCCATCTTAAAAGATTGGTGATAAATGTGCTAACAAATGTAACTGGTGATAAACGATTGAAGTAAATCACTGATCATGGTTTTCTTATAATATCACCGTAAATCCCTTCCATTTCTAAATTTTTTTCTAAGAACACCATTTTTGGTTCGACTCGCTCATTGTCTCAGTTCATCATCGCTCATTGACCGAAAAATTTTCCAAGTCAACCAGCGATAGTTATGAGTCACTGGGATATCACTCGGATTTTTTAAAAACATTCCCGAGAGTGGAACTCCATAATCGAAAATAAGCCTTGCTGAGCGAGCCATTCTAAGTATTCCAAAAATTTTTTAGTCAGAAAAAATTGAAGCAACAAAGTTTATTAAGTTTATATGAAAAATTAAAGCTAAAACGAAAGAATGCAACGGTAAAAATGGATAAATATACTGCAAAAAGTAGAAAAGATAAAAAGAAAATTTTAGGTGTAATAAATACGAATGCGAATCGTTAACATTTGAAATTTTTTAAAATATAAAAATATAAAAAAAATATAAATATCTAAAATATCTAATATCAAATGGAAAAAATAAAGGATAAAAGTGTTTTCCAGTAAGTCTTTGTACAGCTTCTTGAAAAAAAACTTCTCTATTCCGATAATTTTTATTTCCTTGCAGTTAAGTTTACAAAATGCGATGTGAAAATAGTATAACCGATTATTAGTTGGCCGTGATAGCCATCATCAGTGTTGAGATGAGATGATCTTAACTTATGGACAACTTGCTCGAAGGAATAAACAGATATGCACTACTTTCACCGATTTCTTTTCTAACGAAGTTTTGGACGTTTCAGCTTCTTCTTCTAAAAACCCTTTACCATTTCCGTCATTTTGTTTACTTCGACTGCACAAAAGTAAAGGTAAACCTCCTGCACTATGCAAATTTTATTTTCAATTTTTGTTATGACAACTCAGTCCATCTGAACTTTTATGAATCGAAAAGTAGGTGTTGAATAAGTCAGAAGTGATGCGACATCTTTGTAAAAATATGTCCGATCAACCATTATCAATTTCTGGAAAAAAACTAATTAAATCTACCGATTAAATGATGATCTTTTTATTCTTTATTTAGTTACATGTTTTCTGCATGAAAAATTTTTGCTTATCTTTCATTTATGTGAGGATGCATTTTTAAAACTCGAATGGCTTATTAATACAGACAAGTTTTATCAGGGAATTACTTGGCAATAGGAAAATAGGTGGACCAGCACCAGCCGATGAGCCAGTTATTTTAATGGATAGTACTCCAAATTAAGATTATTCCAATTAAATCATAAGAAAATTTGATTATTCTATTTTCCTCTATCATGAATTTTCTTAGATTGAAGCTAGATTTTTAAAAGCAAGTTAAAAAAATGTTGCAATAACGTAAAATCAAATGATCTAAGCCCATGAATTTTAATATAAAATTGTATATTGTTTATCGCTGTGTGTTTTTTTGATAAATGATTTCGACTTACTGATAAAGAAAAAGTCCCCTAAAACTCATCATATTTATTCATTTGCAATAAAAATAAAAAATTAATAAATTATTAATAAAAATGAATTGAAACTAATGAAGATTATTATCACATAGGTGAATTTCATTTTCAAAAGGTCACAAGTAATTGTATTATAGATATTTGATATTTGATATTTGATTTTTCTTCGTCACTTAGCTTGACTGGTTATTAGACTTTGTGATACAACAAATTACCGATCGTTATGATTAAAATTCGAATTTAAATTCAGAAAAATTGGTGAAATATTTTTAATTTTCTTCAATTGTAATGTTCCTAAAAATTTAATAATTGTAGAAACTATTTGATCTTATAGCATAGATGAAGCCCGCAGTGATCTTTCCACCTTGTTTCTGCCAAAATTTGTCAAAAACGCAACAACTGCAAATTTTTGCCAAATATTTTCTCTCTAAAATATTATAACAAATATCAAAAAAGTCCACTTTTATTGAAATTTTCATTATTAATAGATCAACAGAGCTGTATAGAAAAAATAAAAAATCCTAAATCCTAAAAAACTTGAAAATATTTTAAAATAATGGCAAAAATGGGGAGAAAAATTTTAATAGAAAAATATCAAATGATAAGATAAGATGATGTTGGAAACATTTATTTTAAAAAATTTTTAAAAAAAGGCTAATAAAAATTACGAATAATATTAAATATGAAAATGAAAATATATTCGCTCTAAACAAAATTCTTAACAATTCAATTTAACAAATTTTTAGAACTTGAATTTATCAAATTTGATACAATTCCTTTTTAAAATTTATCAATTAAAAAAAAAAAAAAACTAAAAGCAGAATAAGCGACTTAATAAATGCCAGGACAATTTCTGCCCCAAGTCTTCCAGTTCTAATTCCAGGTACCTTTAGGGTACCAAACAGGATTTTTTTGAGAATTATCTCCACCGCGGCTTCTTAAAAGTGTTAAATGGTGGCTGTGAAACTTCACTGAGATGTTCATTCGTATTTAAAATCGAATCAAAAAAGAAATAACATTTAACAGAATTCACTATGAAAAATAATGATGGTAACTTAAATAAATAGTGCCTCACAAATTATTATGCAAATAATGGACAACATGCATTAAAGTTATCACTTTTAGTATAATCAATTTTTTCATTAACATAAAGTGGTAAAATCTAACAGAAATTTAGAATATAAATATAGAACTGTTCAGTATCTAATCAATTAAGAATTTTACGAATTAAATTGAATGAAAAATGATAATGAAGATATGAGTAAATGATATGTTAAAAGATTAGTAACATTAGTAAGATTAATTTTAAAATGAAATCATGAATAGAAGAAAGTGCTTCGGGGCGAAATGGTGTAGCCATTTCAATTATCTCAAACTATGAAATTCGAAGAGAGTGAGCGCATTGCTCATTTTAAACCGAATTGTCAATCGTAAAAAATATTACCGGTCTGGAAATGCGGATGAATACTGATCCTAACTAAAGGAACATCTCCGATAGTCAGTCACTTCCACGCTATGATATAAAGTGCATTAATAGGAAGTGCATTGGTTGGATATCGGAACTGCTCAACTGCCTGAGTGCTCAAAAGCATGAATGTTAGAATGTTAGGAGATCCTGACTATCGGATGCTTCGAAGAATTGCAACAACATCACGGCAGGACAAAAATCATTACTGGAGCAACATAATCTTAAGAATGGAGACGGCGGTTCTACTAAGCTATAATGAGAAACTATTCCGCCTTCTTCATAAAGCAACTATTACTCTAGGAATGATCAATAAAATTGTAATAGCAGTGGCTGTTAATGTATCAAAGATCGCCTCGTGAGATAAAGGAAGCGCCATCTGTTAACCTGAACATAGCTGATACGTTCATCGAACCATAAGTTTACAATTGCGAACCGCCAACAGAAAAAAACAAAACAGGAAATAATCTCTATAATCCATGAGCTTAAGGTTAAAAAAACTACGAGAGAAGATGCTCTTCGGGCTGAACATTTCAAATGTTGTCCACCATCCTTTATAACGCACCTTCAATGCATAGAAGAAAGAAATATTGCCAGATGACTGCAGCAAAGCAATTTTCAAAAAAGGTGACAGGACATACGACAATTATCGAGGAATCAGCATACTAGACGTCTCAGCGAAAATTTTTGCTTCCCTACTATCAACAGACTTATGGAAGTACGAGACAGCAGGATGTGCCCTAATTAAGCTGGATTCAGGGTGAGATGTGGTTTTGCTGACCAGATATTCACGTTTGTAACATTGCTTCAAATATCTGCAACTCCTCGTTACATCGACTTTGCTGCTATTTTCGATTCAATTGGTGATGAAATGCGAAAATGTATCAGAGAAGATCAATGGACTCATAAAGACATTTTATCAGCATTTATAAATCTGTATTTGTGAGGAACTGTCAGACCCCTCCGAAATAAAAACTGATGTCTATCAAGGCTGAATCCTTTCTCCTACGATATTATGCGATTGTCGGCATTCAAGATGTCTACAAATCAGCCCAGAGCATAATATCATAGATCTTGAATACGCTAATAATGTAGTTCTTTTTGTTGATAATTATAACGAAACGCAAATAAATAGTGTGTCAGCAACTGCAGCGAGAACTGGTCTCAAATATAAGGCAATAAAACGAAAGTCTTCTGGTCTTATATACGAGAAACTGATAAAATTCCTCTTTTTATAAACTCATTGTCGATTGAGGAAATGCTCGATTTTAAATATATTGGATCTACTCTAATACCAAATGGTCAGTCAAAAGATGAAAAACAGCCCAGATAACGGAAGATAGAAAGGTGTTCTTTCAGTTGACGAAACTTTTATGGAGCCGTCGCGAAATCACTATAAAAACGAAAGTCAGCTTCAATAAAGCCGCGATTCGTTCGATCTTGTTATGTGGCTACAAAACATAGCCAATGAGAGTGGAGGATATTAAGGTCTATCTGCCTTTGTCCACTTATGTCTAAGGTACATTTCTCGGGTTCACCGAGTGGGTAAAATCTCACATGATCGTATCCACGTATCCACCTTGCGTAAACATCACAGTGTCACAGTGCCATTATACAGCGTCGGCTTCGCTGGTTAAGGTGCGTTCTTCGTCGCTTAAAGAGTTTTGATATTTCATCACTTGTTAAACCCTGTGATGGGTGGTGTCAAAAGCTCAACAGGGCGTGGAATTCGATCCTCTACTCTTTTGGGAGATCCTATTTCTATTGTATAAGACTATTCGTTATATTCGTTCTCTAAGACTATACGTTATATTCGTTCTGAGATATTCCAGTTTCTCCAGAATACATCCAATGTTTTGAGAATGTTCGGACCAATATTTGTCTAATTTATCTTTAGTATTCCATGGGTTGGGAGTGAATTTATCTTCCTTCATACTACCTTCATCTGTTGGTATCGCTAATAGAACGTTGGGTGAAATCAATAGGTCTCATGATTTTGTAATCATCAAAATTTAAGTAAGTTAATGGACGGATATTAAATATTCCTTCAATTTCCATTGTTAATGTTGTTAATTTCCCACAAAAGTTTCCTACCTATTGCTCTTCTGAGAGCTCCCTTTGTTCATCCAATCATTTTTTCATGAACACCTCCGCTCCATTGCTTTCGGTATAATGTTTTTCTATATCATCTCCTTTGAAGCTAGGAAATTTCTACTTTCCTCCATAATAATTTTGAAAACCAATTGAAATTGAAATTGTAGCTAAAACAAGCATAGGCATATCCGCGTCGCATTACAAATATGCGAAACATATGCATGAATATTTCTGCTGAAAGTTTGTGTTGTAAAACAGATGAAGAGCGCTATGCACCGTTTTTCTATCCATTGTCAATTTTGATTGAAAGTGGTCCCAAATAATTAAGACCAATCTGTTTCAATTTCAAATTCAAAAATCCAAACTTCAAAGATCCTTGACACGGGATTCTGGTAAATTTGTAGCGGTAGTCTGAATGGTTTGGCTCTCCATCGTTTGCAAGCCATGCTTCCCTTTATAATTCGCTTTACTGCAAATCCACTTGGTACCCAAAATCATTGCCTTAATTCATATAATATGTGTCCAACTTCTGTACTTCTACTTAATAAGTTCAGTAATATGGTTGTGATTTGGTAAGTAAATAGGAAATTTACTTTCCATGTTCAATTCTGCATTTTCTAGATGACTTCTTGTTTGCCATAAATTCATCCTCTTCATCGAGATATAGATTTCATATGTTTACTTGTTATTCATCGTGCTTGTTTTATTAATATCCACTCTGTTACATCATAGTTGGCTTTGGCCATACGATCTTTATCAGTAGACATCGATTGCAACCATGTTATTTCTTCCTTGAGAATTAGCTTGATAAATTTGAGAACCCACAGGGTTGCTCTTCGGCTCGCATCTATGAACTGGAAATTTTGATTTAAAAATTCGTTTTACTTTCGTAGATGTTGCCATAATAGCACTACTGAATTCGTCCTCACCAGCATATCTAAATTTCCATTGGCCATTTTTTTTCTTTCTAAATTCTAAATTGGCTATTTTTTTTCTTTTACCAGCCATTTCGGGCCTTTGCACCATGATCAAATGACCAAGTTCAAATTTAATTTAATGTGCAGCTCGTGCACCAATAAATATTGATAACAATTCAAACCTTGGTATGGATATATAATTGGAGCAATCCAAAATTTAATTGGAGCAATCCAAAATTTGGCATATATTAAGAATGATTCTATTCTTGGATATCCTGCGTTGAGAGCATAAAAACTACTGTTTCAAAGCAAAGTTAGGTGCATCGCTAAATAAATATGTCTCCAATTGTTTTACTGAATTTATCACAAACTTCGATAAATCGATTACATCGGTCCGCAATTTCCCAATCTTGTGCCATTGTTGCTCCCCTTCTTGGGTTAAAAATTGATCCCAAGACCTATTCTACTTCCATAAATATGGAAGAAATAATTTGAGTGAAATCATCGGTGGTATTAAAAAGCCCAATGGATCTATTTCGAGACGACGAATTGCAAAATAATTCTCTTAATGATTTGTTTCCCAGTCCGTGTTCTTAATGTTATACGAATAATATCTAAATCATGGATCCAATTAATGCCAAGGAAATTCTTAATCGCCTTTGGTTTATCATATTTTCGTTCATTCGTTCATCAGTAGAAAGAAATTCGTTTAAATTCATTGAAGATAAATTTCGTTTCTTCATTCATTTTCAATAGAGCTTTTTCAGTTACATTGGCCGATAATGTAATATTGTCCCCACAAATATTCTCCTTTATTTCGGAGGCTGTCTTGTTACCACATGTTTCCAGGTAGTAATTTAATGTGGCTGATAACAAAAAAGGTGATGAGATGATTCCGAAGGAAACTCTTTTAAAATGATAATTGTGATCATTTTATGCTTTATTCAGCTAAGTCATTGTTAATATCGTGTAACCAACATGAAATCGAGTAGAATGTAGAATTTCTATCCTCTGGGTATACTTCTATCTGCAAAAAGGCCTTTTCAATATCTAGGGTCTAATATTTTTTTTTACATTCTTTGCCTTGATATGCCTTCAAACAAATAATACATTTCTTCATCTCCTTGAGACTTTTCATTCGAGAATTCACTGTGGGACATACTTGACGTTCGCTATCCCAATGATTTTAACAACAAAATTTTCATAGTCTTCTTTGTTTAATTTCGCTTTTGATTGGTGTAGGAATTTTCTTTTCATTGTGGATAGTTGCTAATGCATTTTAGCTTCTTGGATTCTGCTTAGTCTTAAGTAAGTTTCTTGTCCATATGAGTAAATGAAAATTGATTTCTTATCTGTTCATTGACATTGATTAAGTTCCCAAGAAAACTTCTGAGCTTTGATACTGACCATGGGCTATCGATTATTTTTTGATGGTATACTTTGCCCATCGTGGTATTCAGCTTTCGATTTCAATGCTAAAGTGTTCTAGGTTTTCTCCTAGCGCCTCTAATTGTCGGAAAATTCTTTCCATTTTTTCTACTGTTTCAATTCGCGGGTGATGCTGGCGACTCACCTGTATTTCTATCGCCAAGGGACTCCCTGACCCCCTGCCATATTGCCCAATTGCGACAAACCAGTGGAGCGAGTTTAACCAGCAATGGTGAGGACTCTTAAAAAAAACTTTTTTTTCAATCTGTTTCAATCCATTTTTTTTCACTTCATTTGATAGATTGTAGTTCATTGTATAGTAATTTAACAATAGTCGATGAGTCGCCATATTTCTCGGAGCAGCATTTTTCGTACGATTTCATAATTTTCTGGGGCTGTGTCATAACTCCTTATGGCTTGCAATGGTGTTCCTTTTAGGCAGGAAATTAAGTAGTTCAATTTTTGAATTTCTGGGATAGCTTGGGAGTGAACAGCGGCATTGAAACTGCTGCAGAATTCTCTCCATTGTCGTCCACTAAAAGAAAGCAAGAACAATTGAAGGAGAATAACATTTATTTGGGTAAGGAATTTCCTTTTAGATGGCATTTGGATCGAGATTAATATCAATTTCTCCATTTCATCACCTTTTTATACATAATCGAGATTAATATCAAATTCTCCATTTCATCACCTTTTTATACATAATCATCAACATGATGATTGCTTCGTTCGCTTCATATATCCAACTTGAAGATTCCTCTTTTCCTTTTTGTTTTTGTATTTTTCTTCCTCCTCCATTCCTCTTAAGAGCAGCACCATCCAATTACCGACTAATAACTTGGTGTCAATGTGGAAAGTCCTGTCAAGTATCATAGCCGTCAAGTTTCATAACCATGTAAAATAATATTTCAATAAAACAATGAGTGTGTTCAAAAAGCATTCGAAACAACACCAGAAGCTCTAAATATCAAATGCTTATAAATAAATAAAGCAATCAGATTCTAGATTTTAAATTCTGGCAGAACAATCTGTTTACAACTTGGGTTGAACTATGTTCAAAACCACGTACATGGATCTGTGAATATCAGGCTCTATAGAAAGTCAACGGACCCTAAAGATCTTCACTGAGAACTCAATGGGACTGTAAAGAACGGCATGCTTGCAGGAGTGATTATCAAGTACGACATATATCGTCTCTATTGTTCTGCATAGCTCTAAGCCCCTTCAGATAAGCACCAGGAGCGAATGTGGATACAAATTTAAGAACCGGAATCACCGTCATCTTCTCTACATGGATAATAGGCAAAACGAGACATTGAATGAGATATTGACTTGTTCTTCCATCTAATTCGGATCTACAACGAGAACATTATGATATCATTCGCATTAGACAAATATAGCTGGATGGAAGCAAAGAGAAGCAGTGACTAATGAAGTGAACTTTCCATCAGCACATATAGACTAGCTACAAGTGCGGTGATAATCACATGGTAACCACAAATAAGGAGGCGAGAAAAGCTGCAACATATACATGTCGCCAAAAATATATCTGCCCTGCCAATCATCAAAAATGAAGGCAAGAGGACTGCTGATATAAAGACCAGAACCCCTCACAATGTACGGAAACTTCCACCTCAAGTCCAACACCAAATAAATGTACAACAGTCGAAAAGAAGGTGGGGCTCAGTGAATTTGAAGCCATTATCTCGAACTCGAAACATTCAGAAACATATTAGCAAGACGACACCAAAGAATAAGCTGCGCTGCTGAAAGAATGCCTAAAGCATGTATAAATATTGGAAAATTACCAAGCAGAGGAAATGCAGTGGCAAAGCAAAGTCCTCTATGGATTGCACCAACGATTACTGAGGCAACTGATATTGTAAAATTTTACCAGTGGTTGGAGAAAGCTGAACTAAAAGGCAGTACTGAGGCATTGATTATAGCAGCAGGAACAAGCATTAAGTACCAGATCCATCGAAATAAGGATCCACCACATTATATTCTAGAATATTCTAGACAGAAGTCTAGATGTAGATTACGCAAAAACATCCCAGAAACAGTCCGGTACATAGTAACAGAGTATAAAAATAACAGGATATGCAAGCAGTAACAACACACATTGAGAAAACCAAATAACTGGCATAATTTACAGGAACAACTGCTCGATATATGGCTTAGACCAAGACTAAATGGAAGATTCCTCAGAAAATCATATAGAATAATAAGGCAAAGATTCTGTGGGACTTCTCCATCCAACAGATAAACAAGTACTGGCCAACTAACCAGATATCGTGGTGATAGATATGAAGCAGCATTGGTGATAGGTGTAGCAATACCAAATGACAGGAAAGTCAGGAAAGGAAGAGTATGAAAAGTTAGAGAAATACCAAAGGCTACAAGAGGAGAAAATATGGAAAGTAAAGGCCAAAGTAATTTCAGGGATAATTGAGCACTTGGACCCCTAAACTAGAAAATGCGCAGAACCAATCTTACAGGCCTCTGGTGGAGGACTCTAGGTTGAAGATGATCATTACCACCCACAGGAGATGAAAAAAACAATTTCTTTTTTATATCAATCAGAAACTCATGTGAACATTAAATATATGAGAGTTTCAAGTTTGAATTCGATAGAAAGTTTTCTTTCACACTTATTTTAAATTTCTTTTCATTGCAATTTATAATGAATAGCAATTATATATTATTATTATTTAATTTATTTATTAAAAATTTATCAAAGTGGAAAAGTTAGGTTACCTGCGAAATAAGGTTATATTCTGCAAAAATTTAAGATATTTCTGATGCACTATTTTGAAAACCAAATTACAAAAAATCACAATCTGAAAAGGTTCAGTGCTATGCTTTACTTTTTCAATGAATGAAATTTGCAGAAATAAAACGGAAAATGAAAAGAAAAAGAAATTTAAAAATTCTGGAATAAAAAATTGGAGAAATTTTGGAAAAAAATTTTATGGTGATTCCCAATTCAAAAATGTGATTCCCTTAGACATATATATAACAATTCTTCACTCAAAAGCACTTTTTCAAGATTAAATTAAGTCTTAACTGTTCAATAGTTATTCTTATCAAAATATTATTTTCTCTTTTTTTGGTTTTTATTCTTTTCATTTCTTTTCTTTTACTATTTCAATCGACTCAGTTTTTCAGCCAAAACTCTCGGTCAGTGAGATTTCAGAAACCTTAATTTTGATTTTAATGCAAATTTAAAATAGATAGTTTATAATTGCGTTGTGAGTCTGAGATACTACCCGATTAATACATCAATCAGACTGAAACAGTGAATTATTTCCCACACAGATTGCTTATATGATGATAATAAATGAGCGAGCAATTAGCAAAAAAAACTTATAATTTCATTTTTCGTCGGATCTTTCATCAGTTATAAGTGAAAAAATGGATATTAATTGGTCAAAATTATAAAAATAAGCCAAGAAATTATTTTCACCTCATTTTTTAAATTTTTTTCTCGAAAATCAAGACTTTTTTCTTTTTAAATTTCATTATATTTATGAGTTCATCATTGCAGTGATTCGCTATAACTTAAGAGCTCAAAAAAAAATCAAGAATTGATAATAGATTCATTGTAACTCAGGAATAATGAATATAGAAATGTACCACAAAATAATAAATAGATAATAAAATAAAAAATAATAGCAATTGGGTGAAATAAAATAATTATTTTAACCATATTTCTTACACCATCAAACGGTACTTGCCAATCATTGGAACTTGCAAAACTCTTTATTTCTGGTTTGGCTAATTCCGCTGATTATTAGGATATTTCGCTTTGGGCTCTATGTATGAGTCTCCAGCATCTACAATTAAATTTTCGTAATAATTTCACCATAGGGTAGACAAGGAATCATTGCTTGACCATAGTCTTGAGCTTAATAGCATATATCTCTCTATTGTCCCATAGAACTATTATGCAACTTTTCAAAAATTCATAAACTCTCCACTTTTTTTATTTACTTTATTTATTTATTTTATTTATTTATTTATTATTTATTTATTTATTTTATTTTTTTATTTATTTATTCACCTATATCACTCATGTAGCACCTTGAGCTTGCAATATTTAATCACTTGACGAATGAATGAATGCCAAATTTCGATTTTATACGGCTAATCCGATATAATTTTAGAAAAATTTTAGTAAAGGAGATAGATTTAAATAAAATTTTTAAGCCAATAAATAAAGAAATTTAGACTTAAAAAAATGCAGAAAAAAAATTTTTTTTTAAATTTACGACATGAAGCGAATAAAATTATCTCAACAATCGTATCGAAATCGTATTTTATAATTCTTTACCCTTAAGGTCAAAAATGTGTCGTTGCTTACAAACTAGTCAGTCTTGCAAACATGTAGAGCTCAAGGCTACGCTTCTATCTCCACGTGCTCCTCTGGTTAAGCGACAATGTCCTCGAACTCAGTGGAACCTACCAAATCAGCATTGAAGTACGAGTATTGAAGCCCAATATTAAAAGTTTTCATTCGCTTTTCTAAATCAACTATTTCAGCTATGAAATGAATTGTTTTATTTAATTGTAGCTCCAATGTATTGTTTTTTCTCATCCAGTATCCAGAAATCCATAGAACCTTTCCGTAATATCTGCATAATCATCCATTAGCACTGCTCCATTTTTATAATCCTTCAAAATAATTCGTTTTTACTCTTGAAAATTCTTAAATTTTTTCCTTGTATAATGCAACACACTGAGATAACAATCCAGCAAAATTATAGGAAATGTTAATGACAAAAAACTGGCATAGATTTTAAAAAAAATTTTGATAAATAATTTTTATCAAATTTGAGAAGATTTCGTAATCTTAACGCAACAATTTATTAAGTAATTAAAATAGGTAAGAAATATCGAAATGAAATTTGAAAATTTGAAAAATTAAAATTCCCAATCCATTTTAAAAGTTTAATAACAGTTTAATAATAATTTGAATATGAAAGCTTAAATAATTTATAAAATGTAATGATAATAATAAATAATAAACTTATATATATATATATATATATTTATATAATACGCATATTTTTTAGTAATTTTCTCCTTATTTAAATTAATAGAATCAAAAATCAAATAAAAATTTTATTTGATTTTTTCTTATTTTCGTTATTTATTATTAATTTCATTCATTACAATAATTTCAAATTTTCAAATTTTTGAATGAAAAATCTTTTAAATTAATTATAAATTCATTTCAGAAAGTTATAAATTATAAAAACAAAAATTATAAATTATAAAATGGAAATGGGACAATAATTAAAATGATTAAACAAAATCAGCAACCACTTGTATCACCAATCACATTAATAAAAATATATTTTTGCACCAAACTAATGGCTTTCGTACCACAATTGCATAACTTTAAAATTTGGCCAATGAGAGTGAAAAGTATCAGAAAGTTATTTACCTTTTATTTACCTTTGACCATCTTTGCCTAAGGTACATTCTTCATAGCGCCAAGTTAACAAAGTCTCAATAAATTGGAGTCCCACATTATTACACGTTTTCTCTAATGCATTATTATCCTCACAAAGAGCCGTTTGTACTGGTTTGACTTTGAGTTTGACTTTTATCGTTGCCCACCATAGAAATTAACATCTTGCCCTCACTAAACTATGTAATAGATGGTGTCAAAAGCGGGATGTACCAGTTAAAATCTGAACCGATGCAGTAAGAGGATAGTGAATGCATAGGTTGACCAACAGTGTACAGGTTTCGAACGATAGAAAAAAGAGTGACAATTAGGAGTAGCATCAGGCCGAAAAGCTTGAAAAGTTCAGTTCAGTTAGTTAATTTTCATTTAGATCATATTCTAGCCTCTAGTGGAACGAATCAAATCAACAAAGGTGCAAGCCACAAGAAGAAAAAAAAAAAAAAAGCATCAAACTAACTGCAAATTCAGTATTTGCTAGCATATATAAAATTTTTTTGACTGTTATTTGATAATTGATAATGCTTTAATAAATAAAATTCTTGATTTTATATGATAATTTATTATTTATAGAAATGATTATTATTCAATTTACATATTGCATTTTCGATGTTCGAGTATTTTTCGATGCATTACTTTTTGCTATTGCTTCGTTTAAAGTATAATTCGAATTCAGTCTTAAAAGTTGCAGAAACCTGGCTGAAGAAAATTCTAAAATATTGGAGTATGATTTTTTTCTATATATCCTGAATATAAAAAAATATTCCTGAGGGAATTGATAAAATCCAGATGATCCTGAGGATATATCTGCATTTTTACTGCCAAACAACTCTTTGGCAAAATTATCTCATCTTACTGTTATCAAGTGGTCTGAGCCTAAAATCACAAATGATAATTGTTCAGTTCAATCTAAGATGGATGAGTTCTGTTCTAATGGAAAGTACTTCAGATAAAGACTATTCGAACAAGAAAGTTCGAGTATTTTTGAAGTTTGAGTATTTGCAATTCTTTTTCTCTCTGAAAAAACTGCTTCGATTGAAACCAAATTAGTCATAAAAATACGTTTCGAAGCCAAGATTTCGAAAAAGTGTGTAGAAGTGAAAAATAAGTGAATTTAGTAAGTTCGTTTTTATTAAATTTCATACAACATTGTGACATATTTTTGCAGTAGATGATTTTGATGATTGAATACTGATAAAGAACTTTCGCGATAAAACTATCATCCTTTTCAGATGCAAATTCATTGAAAACGTTGTATATTTATTTGCAGCTAGTAAAAATTCTTATCACGATATAATCAATAAAATTTTGTTTTTGTCAAAAGATCACAAGAAATTCATTAAAAATAAATTTGCTAACAACTTACAAATTGAAAAAATGAAAAAATGGTAAATTGAATAAAAGTATCGCATGGATTTGTTTTCATATCGAATATATGCACTGAAATTTATGGACGGTTTATCGGTATTTGTTACTGTCGTAATTGGAGATGGTTTGAAAATTTCCGGAATTTTATTACATTTATTGCCTGTACAAAAGCAATAATTTGCAAAGACGACATATTGAGGTTTAGTTTTCAAGATAACATTAATATTCGAACATCGATGACCTTTCACCATCCTATCTTTTGTCAAAATGTTCGTCGAACATCCCCGTGAAATACCTAATATTTTTTAATTATTTACAGTTTAAGCTGCAGTTCCGCATCATATGCATATAAATGGCTTTATTATAAATAACGTTGGCCGAAATTATTAACAAATTATTAGAAACTAGTATAGAGCTATGGAGTTTCATCCTCTATTAAAAATGTCTATATTAGACAACTGTACAAACAAATGGTATATTTTTCATGTATATGCACCATATCTAATCTTTTCTGTTCTGTCATTTTCAATAAAGAAAGTGAGCTCTTTCTCAAAAATTAAAATGCATAAGATGAAGTGTGGAGGATTGGATGGAAAAGTAGTTGTGATATGGAAATATTGACGAGAAATTACACTTACTGTGTGGGGTTTTTTACCTAAATTTATAAGCAAAGAGAATGCTCAATTACCGTCAGTAAATAAAGATACCGTCAAAATAAAGATGTAAATTTTTTTGTACCAAATCACCATCTCAAAGCAATCCATAAAATCCAGGTTCTTGGGATAAAGCGATAACATTCCTTAAACTCAGAAGCCCAGCTACTGCTACTTTTTTTCTGGTGCTACTTTTTTATCTTACAATGCTAATGGTTAAGATCGATATATTTATACTTCAATATAATAATAATAACTGATAATAAATCTTACCGAATAATAATGATCGTCCGATACCCTGTTGCGATGTTACATTTAATGAAAAACATGAATCTCGACAGATCTGCGTTTTAGCTGTATTGATATCACATTTAAAAATAGGCAAAATGTTTATTTCTTCTTGTAGCACTCGGGGATTATCGAAGAACGCCCCATAATGCTACAAAAATAAATGTAGTTGAATGTTTAACCATTACTGTTATCAAGGTATTTCTTTTTCTTCTTCTTCTAACAGCTCTCACCATTACTGATTATGTTTGCTCCGCTGGCTATAAAAATATCTCCAAGCTGCTCCGTCTGACACTATCGCTAACAATAATAGAAAGCATATCTTTTTCCATCGACTAAGCCCATATATTGCTAGTCTACCTCAATGTTCAAAAACCTTCATGACCGTACCAGTCAATATTTTAGCCCACCTCGCTTTTGACACCACCCATCACAGGGTTTAGCAAGTAATGTGTCAACTTTTGCGTGGACGACGGAGAACGTGTCCTAAGCAACGAAGGCGACGCTCTGTGATGGTACTATTAATGCAAGCAATATATATGAACGAAGGTGTGTGCGATTATTTAAGATTTTATCCACTCAGCCAACCTGTAAAATATACCTTAGATATGAGTGGCCAAAGGCAGATAGATATTTTTATGGTTTTATGGTTTTTATGGCGACAACTCCATAAAGATTTCGTCAACCGAAAGAACGCATTTCTAGCTGTCGATATCCAGGTTGCAATTTTATCTTTTGCCTGTCCATTTGGTATTAAAGTGGATCCAAGATATTTTAAGGCAATTCCTCAACCAGTTATGAATTGATAAAATAGATATTTTATTAGCACCTTGTACGAAAACATTTTTGTTTTATTTACATTGATTTTGAGTCCAATTCTCGCTGCATTTTTTAACACATTGTTTAACATTATTTGCATTTCATTATAACTATCAGCAAAAAGGACTACATCATCAGGGTATTCGAGGTTTTGATGCTATGCTCTGGACTAATTTGCACACTTCTTGAGTTCAATAAACGATGCCCATTATCCCCAGTCAATTGCATAATTGAATATTGTAGGGGAAAGGATTCAGCCTTGATAAACTTTTTTTTTTTCAATTTTTAGCCAGTTCCTCATATACAGATCTATATGTACTGATAAAAAGCCTTTATGATTCCATTGGTATTTTCTGAAACACTGCATTCCATCACCAATTAAATCGAAAACAGCAGCAAAGTCGACGTAACGATGAATTGCATATATTTGAAGCAATATTACAACACCTTTCTTAACGAGAATATATGGTCAGCAGAACCACACCTCGTGCTGAATTCAGCTTAATTAGGACATATCCTGCTGTCCCGTACTTCCATAAGTCTGTTGATAGTAGGGAAGCAAAAATTTTCGCTGAGATGTCTAGTATGCTGATTCCTCGATAATTGTCGTATGTCCTGTCACCTTTTTTGAAAATTGCTTTGCTGCAGTCATCTGGCAATATTTCTTTCTTCTATACATTGAAGGTGCGTTATAAAGGATGGTGGACAACATTTGAAAAGTTCAGCCCAAAGAGCATCTTCTCTCGGAGTCTTCTTAACCTTAAACTCATGGATTATAGAGATTATTTCCTCTTCCGTTGGTTCGCAGGGATGCTGTTTCTTGTGAGTTGTCAATTTTATGCGGATCTTGGTTCGGACCATAACATGATCAGATTGATAAAGATTGTCCGTTTCAGAGCCGCGATAGGAACGACTATCTAATACGGAACTCTTCCAACGGCTAACTAAGATATAATTAATCTGGTTGAAGTGTTGGTAATCTGGGAGTTCCATGTGATTGTTTTTTACGATGTCAGAAGCAAACAACAAAAGGTTAATGCCGCATAGAACTTATCTTTATTAAGGTCTTAAGAGAGTGTTGGACGACATTGATGATCGCGACATTGCAGAACTTACCTTTAAAACAGGCATAGGTCATATGGCTGCACCATTTCGCCCCGAGTTACTCAAAGTACAACAGTGCCTCTGCCCCGAGCTAGGATTATTAATTACTCGAGACTCGAAGAGAAGAAGACGAACCTTCGACAGGCTGGCGATATCCACACGATATTTGGAGAAAGTATGGACAGTGATCGCTTGGCTTGCAACGTCCATAAGCATTTTGACGTTCCAAGCTGATACTGCCTTGCCGCGTCTACAGAGAACCGTTCCTCGTAATAGATTTCAATCAATTGTCCTGGCATGTGGGCACATTTCATTTATGAACCTTGGGATTGTTTCACGTTTGGATTCTGCACTTAACGCATGCACCAATGGATTGTATCATATGCGTCAAAGGACGCAAATGCCATGTCAAGAACATCTGAGTAGAGTCCTATCACAGTGAAGTCACTTGGGCATAAAGTTACAGGCAAATCCCTAGCAGCCACCCAGGCTCTTGATATGACAAGTTTACTCCTGTCGAAGACAGGATAAGAACGAAAAAATTATAAAAAAGAAGTATAAATATAACTCTTAATATATGTTAGATTACATATATATATATATATATATATATACATAATTTAATTTATAACTTGTTAATTAAAGAGACTTAATTTTATATTTGAAAGTTCCACAAGTAGCATAAGAGAACAGCAGAACGGAGCTGATAAAAACTGCTCAAGCGACAAAATTTTCGAAATTTTCTCAATTTTCAATTAACGATATTTAGTAAGATTACCTTCATTGACTATGAAGGTAAAGTCTTCCAAACCTCTCGATCTGTCTATTAGATTTTGCTAGATAATTAAGAAAAATTTAATGAAAAATTGAAAAAACTTGAAGTTTAAAAGTTTAAAAGGAAAGCAAACCACTTCAATGTTGGGATCTGAGCATAAAAAGCAGCGATTGTAGGGTTTTATTTCATTGAGAAATTGAAATAATAAGAAAGTGAAAATAGCGCATTGCTTTTGCATTTCTTAAAAAAATATCTATGAAAAATCAATGTAATTCAAAATAAAAATGTTGGAAATTGAATAGGAAATTTAAAAATGAAATTGATTAAAAAATAAAGTAGTCATCAAATTAAGTTAACAATAGTATCACATAGATTAATTTATGCAACATGCTTCCTCTTCCCGGCTCATTCCCCTTGATAGGATCAAAGCAAATTCGAATGGCACTGAGCACTTAATGAATGCATCTAATGGCTAGTGGGCAACCAAATAATGGGTGAGTTGAAAAAAAGTAATAATTTAATAACGTTAGAAGGAGTTGAAGCTGGAAAAATTGGTTGGAAATTTATGAAAATGAGGAATATATCGTTAAGAATTAAGAGAAAAATTTATAAATTCGCTTTTAACAATTTTTTTCTAAGATCGTACCATTTCATTTCTGGTTAGCTAATGAATGGATCATATCCTAATAGCGAGTGGATAATCGGAAATTGCTGTTTTATTGGCCTTATCGGATTACGTAAATTTTGCCAGAGAATCAAATAACATTAGAAGTACAGGTGGATAGACTTGAGTTTTGACCACACTTGAGTTTTTAAAAATCTAGTAGAGAGCAGTTGAGCCATTTTACTCTTTAATTGGCAGTTGCAAGAAAATGAATAATCTTTTTTTTTCGTTTTTAATTGCATATAAAATGAAAAGAAGTTCTACGACTTTCATATTTTCAGAAGGTTTGAATTGAAAATCAATAGAAAATTATGAGAAAGTTATTCAAAGTTATTTAGCTATTATGATGCGAACATTCTAAAAGAGAATCGAGAAAAGAACGAATGGTGCCAATAACCGCTAGAATCTCCCTTTAAATAGCAATTTACTCCATTACTGATGCAATGTCTATGATCGTAGCTAAACCAACATAGCATTCGCGCACCTTGTAATATCATAAGTTTATCTTATTTACTTAAAATTTCTTAAGAAAAGAAAATTTTTGGCTCTAATTTTTAGGCTCGTTAAATCTCTAAGATTTGTACAACACATTCATCAACAAAAGAAAAAATAGAAGAAATAAACAGAAAGCGAGTTAACCGGAAAGCACCACAATGTTCGCTAATTCGATTCATTTTTAGGACGACGAAAAATAACGCTTTCGATGACAGTTAATGCATTTATTATCAAAAATATAATTTAAAATTTGGATTTTTCACTCGTAAAATCTATTTACAAAAACCAGAAATCCATTATTTTATTTTATCTCATATTTAAAATATATATAAAAATATATAGCTTTTTTTCAGCCATATCTGGCTGTTTTTTCAAGTAGAATATATATATATATATAAGCATATGGCCTATGCCCGTTCTAATGGGTAAGTTCTAAGGGGTAAGTATTTCGGTCATCACTATCTATGCTCTAACTCTGTCGGTAGAAGACAGTGATAAAGATAAATTCTATGCGGAACTTCAACTGCTAACAGAGTCTCTACCAATACATGACATGGCCATAGGGGGAGATTGAAATACTCGCATGGGTCATAATGCCGCTTCGACCTCTACAATTGGCAAATATGGCATCCGGAGACCAGTGTGCCAATAAGAAACGACTTCTTCGTTATGTCGAAAGGACATGAACTTCTTATTACTAATACTTGCTTCCGGTATCGTAGAAAATATCTAGTCACGTGGAACTCCTCGGATAACCAACTGTTCAACCAGATTGATTATATTTTAGTCAGTCACCGTTGGAAGAATTCCGTAATCGTTCCTACTGCGGCACTGAAGCGGGCAATCTTCATGGTTCTGACCATGTTATACGGTTCGAACACCAAGGTCCTCAGAAAACAAAGTTCTCCAAGATCCTTAAACTATCTTAAACTAAAAAATTCGAGGCAGTGAGCGCATTTCAAACTGAATTATTGAAGCATTTCAAAGATACAATTATCATCTCAGTGATACAATTACGATACTTTTCTGGAATGGAATGAATACTGATCCAAACTAAAAGAATGTCTCCGAAAGTCAACCACTTCTACATAGTTAGGACATACTAGTAGGAAGTGCGTTAGTTGGGTATCGGAAGCAACTGTCCAACTGTCTGAAAAAGCACGAATGTCAGGATATTATGACTACCGAATACTTCGAAGATTTGCAACGAAAGCAGCGCGGCGGGACAGAAATCACTATTGGAGTGACATGACCTTAAGAATGGAGGCGGCAACTGGATTAGACGATAATAAGAAAATATTCCGCCTTCATCATAAAGCTATAATTCGGGAAACGATCAGTGAAATGGTAAGGGATAGCAGTGGCATGCCAGTCAAGAGTATAAAGGACCGCCTCATAAGATGGAAAGAATTCTTTGAGGCCAAATTTAACCATGAAGCGCCAACTGTTGCCCCTGATTTAACTGATACGTTCGCTGAACCATATGCATGCAATTGCGAGTCCTCGAGAGAAGAATAAATAATATCTGTTATCAATAAGCTTAAGGCCAATAAAGCTCCGGGAAGGTCTTCGAGCTGGACTCTTTAAGTGTTGTCCATCATCCTTCATCCTTCATAACATACCTTCAACAAATGTTTTCTCTGCCATGGGAAAAAGAAATATTACCAGATGATTGGAGTAAAGCAATCCTGCTCCCAATTCTCAGAAAGATGATAGGACATACTGCGACAATTATCGAGGAATCAGCCTACTAGATATCTAAGCGAAAATTTTTGCTTCTCTTTTACTCAACAGACTTATGGAAGTACGGGACAGCAGGATGTGTCCTAATTAAGAATAATTCAGGGCGAGGTGTGGTTTTGCTGACCAGATATCCACGTTAAGAAGGGTGTTGGAACATCGCTTTAGATATTTGCGACCCACTATCATGTTTCATCGACTTTGCGGCTGTCTTTGATTCCATTGATAGAGAGGCGCTTTGGAGGATAATGGAATGCGAAGGTGTTCCAGAGATCATTCGACTCATAAAGAGATTTTATGAGCGTACGTCAGCGCAAGTCTGTGTATTGGGAACTGACATACTCCTTCGAAATAAGAACTTCGTCCGTCAAGGCTGCGTCTTTTACCCTAAAATATTCAACTATGCGATAGACTGGGTAATGGACACCGCTTGCCGACAGCCAAGAGGTGTCCAAATCAGTCCAGAGCATCGTATCACAGATCTTGAATACGCTGATGATGTAGTCCTTTTTGCTGATAGTTATGACGAAATGCAAGTAATGCTAAATAACTTGTCAGAAAATGCAGCAACCATCGGACTCAGGGTCAGGATTATACAAAACGAAAGTCTTTTCGTCTTATGTACAAGAAGCTGATGAAATGCTTCTTTTTGTAAATTACCGGTCGAGGAAGTACCCGATTTTAAATACCTTGGGTCTACTCTAATACCAAATAGCCAGGCAAAAGTTGATATTATAGTCCGGATCACGGCAGCTAGAAATGCGTTCTTCCAAAAACTTGACGAAAACTTTATGGAGCCGTCGTGAAATTACTATTAAAAGGAAAGTCCGCATCTATATAGCCATTCGTTCGATCTTGCTATATGGCTCTGAGACATGGCCAATGAGAGTGGAGGATATTAAGGAGTTATCTACCTTTGACCACTCTTGTCTAAGGTATATTTTACAGATCTGCTGAGCGGATAAAATATCACATGACACCACAAGACTTGTCGCATATTTCGTTACTTGCTAAACCGTGTGAAGGATGGCTTCAAAAGCGAGGTGGGCCAATCAAGACCTGGACTAATACGGTGAGAAAAGATTTTGAACGTATAGGTGGACCAGCAATCTATGGACTTAAACGATGAAAAAAGGTGTCGACGATAGCATTAGACCGCGCGGCTTGGAAGCGTCTTATCCTTGTAGGCGTTGGAGCCAGCCTAACCAGTAATAAACTATTAGAAGAAGAAGAAGAATGGTCGAGCTTCAACTCCTATTTTTATGTAAATCCTACTATTGCTATATCCTACTTTTTCATTCATTTATTACAGCTAAGTAGCACTTAAATTAGACAAATGCATTAAAATGAAGCAAAAAGCTTTCAAAAAATTAAGTGGAAAACATACCATTTATTTGTGGAAAAATATCGAATTCCAGGAAAATTTGATTTCATCAAAAAAATCTAAATTTTTTGCTTTATTTCGAATAAAAATCTTAAAAATTCCAGGATTTCAAATGCTTTTTTTGGAATTTTTTAACCACAGGAGAACTTTTCATTAAACCCAAAGCGTCGAATTTTTAAGATTCTGGAATTCTGGAATTGTTAAAAAAAACTAATGATTTTCGCTTAAATATGGTTGAGTTTCATTAATAAATTACTTTTCAATGTCTTCAAATATTTCAATGTCTTCAAATCTTTTTGCTTCAAACTTTGATAATTTTATTGAGTGAATTTACAAGCTCATGGAATTATGGGGCACTGAATTTCAAATCATTCACAGGATTTA